CAGATTCTTCTGCACAGAGGCTACCCTTCCAGGGCCTCATTCTCCACTCTTTTCAACCTGATGTCATCTAATAAGTATTTTTTGGCAATATTTTGCCATTGCAATATAAAAATTGGTACCTCCCGAAAGAACTACATTTCTCTTTGATGACCTTTTCACCTATGGAAAAGCCATTTGGGTTTCTTTTTGTATGAAATGTATAGAACTATCTATCCATGACCAGTACCCATTTCTCCCTGTGGCTTTTGCCATTAGTTACTAAGCTTTTGCTATTACATTGTTAAGCTTTTGCTCATTCTATTCTCTGGTTTCCTGCTGTGTTTCATTGGTGGTGAATTTATAAGCAAGAATTCAGAGCCCCAGCAAAGAGATAGGTAAGACCAAATTACTTCTTGCCAGGTGGAAATAATCAAAGAACTTGGTAACCAGCGGGAACACTCTGGGGATCACATAGCAGTTTTCAGATGGATAATGACACATTTACCAGATTGGTTGGTGATTTTTGAGCCACATGTGGCATATGTTAAGTGCATCCCTGGACATGTGGCTTGATGGCTTTATTGGCACAACCTTGGTTAGTTTTGTTGTAGCTTTTAACTAAAGGCCAAATAATGAAAGCACCCCCCCCCGCTGGAATATTTGTTGTCTTTTCTTTGTCAGTATTTACAATTTTAAAACAATGGCACTGGCAGTTTTCGGTCTTTAATAAATTAGCCTTGTCATCCAAGAGTCCAGTAAAGTTCTCTGTTCCAAGTGGATATTTAATAACAATTTAATCCAGAAGGCAAGTGCCTCCCAGTGCTATTTTGCTATCTTTTCTTAAAGCGTGCCCATTAGTGCAACATTTCTCAAATCATGCAAATAGGTGTTGTGTGATTATTTTTAAAAATATCTGTGGCCCTGTTAGTTGTGAAAACTGGGATTAAATACATTTCTTTACTACAGGACTTTTCAGAAACCTAAATGCACTAGCAAGTCCATCAAATATTCAAGATAGAGATAGGGATTTTGCAAATATAACTGACCACAGAACAGCATTTTCAGTTTTTTGTAGTCTTGAATTGAAATACTATTGTAAACAATTAGCTCAAATCTCAGAGAAGAATTAGGAGAAAACTTCAATTTACTTGCCCCATTGATTTGTCTAAATTAGGCCAAATAAGAATCTGTAACTGGAAATAGGATTATTGATTATGTGGCTGCAATCAGATTTCTGAAATTAAGTTCTTCTCCACAGAGGCTACCTGCGGGGCCTGATTCTTGTGGTTAAATCTCAGATAAAATACATTGATGACTTTCTGAGTGTTCCCTAAGGTATTACTGAGGTATAATCAAGGATATAAAATTAAGAGATCAAGGTTATTGCTGGTTACCCCATAGCTGCTCCTACTTGAAATCAGAAATTACCGTCTGTTTGAGGCATCCAAATCTACATGGATAGGAATGAAGTATAATGCAGGAAACAGATAAAGTGACAACTAGCTGGGGACTTAGTGACCAACGGAACCGTGGGAGCCAGGCAAGCAAACCAAAGGAAGGGTGGGAAAGCTCATTATGTCCAGGTTATTAAGCGGTGGCTTATTCTTTCCTCCTGCGTATTTCTAAGATTGATTTTTTTTTTAACTTATTACTGGCCTTTTCTCTCTTCTTCAGAAAAGAAAATCTTGTCTGGGTTGTTTTTGTTTTTGTTTTTCCCTCAACTTTCCTGAAATTTAGAATGCTGTTCTCAGCATGTTCTACAACACTGGCGGCCAGGATGTATCATAAGTCATTTGTGAACTCAACTAAACCACCAAAAATACATGCATTTGAAAATTACCCTAAAATAGAGAATAGAATCAAGATTGCTCTATGAAAGTCGTTTTTTAAGCCTACTTTGCTTTAGAGCTCTTCTTTGAATGGGAAAGAAATTTTCTGATTGCAGACATTATTACAGTGCTCATGAGCTGTTTTATAGCTCCATTTCCATTTTCCCTACTGATAAAATTGCACTTGAGCTACAAAGATGCCAGGAGGATTGCCATTTGTCATAACACAACAGTTATTATTCTATAAATGGCAGCCAAAATGATGCATCAAAAGTGTTCAGTAATGGTATTAAAAAAGAACCAGACTATTTGCATTTTTCTATAGTCCATGCTTGATCCTCTTGCATTATTATCTGTATTTCCCAGGGAGTAGGAGTTTTAAAATGAATCATTTTAAAAGTTGAAATGAAATATTTTCAAAAGTATGATGGTTTTAATAATAATCATGAGACAGATCATTTTATAATTCCTTACTTGTAAATGTCCTTTAATATATTCCCTTCTCTAAAAATGATTTTGCCACATGAGTTGTTAATGTTCTGCATTCATATTCTTGGAGAACCCAGTGCCCAGAGGGGTTTCCTGAGGATTTCTTCCAAACTGAAGGCATCCTTGTGTTGAGCCTTGGTGGCAGTAATATGCTGTGCCTTCCTGTTAGGAGACAGGACAGCCATGTGTTGGGACAGCAGTAGTGAGGGTGATCCTGTCCTCATAAGCCACCTTCCCAGATCAACACTTGCTGGCCGAGCGAGTCTCACCATGGTTTAGAGCTTGAGTCACAATGGGAACCTTAACCAGCACAGTAAGGTGGACAGGTAGGCTGCACTAGGGGCTCAGACTGCTAGAGTTTGAAGTCATTTCATCTGCCACTGTTCTGTCACCTTGCTGATCCGCCTCTGCCTCAGTTACCTCAGCTGTAAATTGAGATGCTGACTATGTGGCATGATTCCTGGCATAAGATAAGCACAGGATACATCAGGTATAGAGCTAGCATGTGTCATGGGGTGGTACAAGTCAAGGATATATGGGCAAAGACACAAGAGAGGGACAGAACTCTCCTTCCCCAGGGGACACAGCCTGGCTGTGTATTGTGTATTGTGTATCTTTGTATTGGAAGAGTCCTTTGGCCTCAATTCCCACTAAGTACTGGTCCCCACTGGAAGGTCAGTCACCCATTGAGACAGAAATAGAGAAACTGATAATCATTTATGCATTTTTCCTTTTCCTTCAGAAGGTATTTTGTGTGCCACTCTGTGGAAACCAAGTGAAAGACTTGTGGGGGATATAAAACCAAGATTTAGTCTCCCCATAAAATCCATCTAGGTAGGGAAGGAAGTGCTGGCATCTGAGGCCATGGTGTGAGGCATAGGTGGTCCTTGCTGTGCCTCTGACTGGATTGGCTGGGACATAGCATAGGGATGAGGGAAGGAACTGACTTCTGTCCATCCTCGTAAGAATGGACTCACTTATAAAAGTGTGCACCTCATCCCATGGTCAGGGCCAGTCTCATTCGAGGGGCTGGGGAACCCTATTCAGAAATAGGATAAAGCATTGGGGTAGCAACAGAAAACAGGCAACAGAGACTGTGGAGGATAAGAGCTGCCATGTGATAGGATTCAGGTCAATGCAACTGCCACAGAATGGACTGGCTAGTTGCAGCCACTCCCTCCAGCTGGGACTGATTTTCTAGAACCAAAGATAGAGGCAGAGCTGTGATAGACAGCTGAGAGAATAGTGCAGTGACTTCTTCAACTTGCTCAGAGGAAACAACTGTGTAAGAGGACTGTATTGCAGTCATGTTATCACTAATGTCTGAGCGGCTTTATCCAGACTGGCAAAAGAACAGATATGATCAGGGTGTACAACCAAGTCCCCAAGGAGACTTTGAAAGTTGCATCCACCACTGGACTTCATGCCTTTGCCACAAGTTACCACAGGCTATGAAGAGAATTCTGGGCTTGTCATGCCAGCAAGGAAGGCAGCAAAGCCTACAGTAGCCTTGTGGCTTGTTGCTGAGGAATGTGGTTGTCTGTACAGTTGGAGGGAGGGAGACATCATCATTGCACAGGGAGCCACATGCAAGATGCTTTGCAGATCTGGGGATTAGTCTATTAAACAGGAGAGGCCAACTTCCAGTGCCTGGAGAAAACCATGGAGGGAGAAGCAGGTTAATAAAAATAGTGCAGTAGACAGGGAGAAATATTTAATGAGACACTGGTTGGGTGGGAAATGTCCACACAGCAGAGAAACCAGGGACTTTCTAAAGTTCCCTAGAGGGCCAGGGATTTAGCTCAGTGAGAGAGCACCTGCCTGGCAAGTACAGTGTCCTGAGCTTGATTCCTGGTGTGCCTGCGTGTGTGTGTGTGTGTGTGTGTGTGTGTGTGTGTGTGTGTGTGTGTGAGAGAGAGAGAGAGAGAGAGAGAGAGAGAGAGAGAAAGAGAGAAAGTGAGAGAAAGTTTCCTAGAATTTAGAATTTAGACATGGCAATGGAATGGATGGAGTTTACTCAGTGATGTGATGTGCTGTGAAATGTATGAAATGAACTCGGAAAGGTGACAGGCATTGACCATCAGGATAAGGCAGTACACAGCACTGACCTATCATCTGGACTTAGAAATATTCAATTAGTTGATGATATATGTCTTTGATTTATTCATTCACTAAATAGTCAATGTAGTATAAATTTTACAAACCAAGTCAACGAGATTGAAATGATAATTAAACCTAGTTTAGCTGATCTCCTGTGATTCTGGTAATTTTGGTTGGGGCATGTTTAGATAAGAATTGTTCTTGTAGGGTTCTGTGAAGAATTGCTCAAGTCATAATATGGTTATGAGTTTGATAGGCACCGCCATAGCAAAGTACCACCAACAGGGTGGTTTAAACATTCAGAATGTATTTTCTCACAATTCTGGAGGCTGGAAGTCTGAGATCACAGTGTCAACAGGTGTGGCTCCTCCTGAGGGGGAGTGAAGGCAAGATCCTTGCTGGGCTCTCTTCTTGGCTAATAGTCGACCATCTCCTCCGAGTGACTTCATGTCATCATCCTGTCCCTGAGTTCCAATTTCTCTTTGTCATAAGCACATTAGCTGTGTTGGATTAGAGCCTACTCTGATGACTTCACTTCTATATGATTCAATCTGCAAAAACTCAGCTTTCCACTTAAATAATTTTTTTCTCTTTCTTTTAAAGATTGTACATGGCACATCAAAGCAAATGATCGAAAGTTTCATGAACAATCTCATTTTATGAATACTAAGTTCTTTTGTATTAAGAAGAGCAAGTATGCGGTAAGTTGATTCCTAAACTGTTTTTACTGAAGTCCCATTTGATCGAGTCACTGTCATGTTTGCCTGCTTCGTGCTACACCTGTTTTCTAGGTAGCCACCAGCCTAAGGCTATTTACAAGTTTTGTTCTATAGGATGTATTTTGAATTTAATGACCTGAAGGTGAGTAGAGGTGACTTGAAATAAAACTAAACAGAATTATATAGACTGAAACTTTCCCTTTGTAGGTATAAAACTCTCTTAAAAGTACTTTATGAAAAAGTATGCATTATCACAGAAGCCTCATGTTTTGAAGTAACAAGTTTAAGATGAATCTTAATAATTTTTCTCTTCTTCTTCTTCCTAGAATAGATGCAGAAACATTAAGGATATTTGCACCTTTAACCAGTGCAGTGGCATACAACTGTAATCCGTTACTCAGAAGGCTGAGACAGGAGGATCAATAGTCAAAGCCAATCTGGGCCACATAGTGAGGCTCTTTATTAAAAGAAAAATACTTTTCCCTAAAGTATGCTTATCTTTGAAATATGATGAAGAGCATCTGTCAAATATGGGCTCAAATTTTATAAAGTGGGGGCTGGAGATTTAGCTCAGCGGCATAAGCACCTGCCTTGCAAGTAGGCAGTCGTGAGTTCGATCCCCAGTACCGATAAAAATGAAAAAGACACAAAAAAATTTTTTTTATAAAGTGGCCAGGTATGGTAGTGCCTGCCTGTAATCCTAGCACTCTGGGAGGTTGAGATGAAAAGATCACAAATTCAAGCCCAGCCTGAGCAACTTAATACTTAACAAGACCCTGTCCCAAAAAAATCAAAAGGAAAGAACAGCTGGGATAGGGGAGAGGAGAAATGGAAGAAAGTAAAACATTATATGAATGTAGCTATACACATATAACTGCATGTATGTACATGTGTGCAAGATAGATAACTATACGACTAATTCTGTTAGTTCATCAAAAAGAACAATTTGTGTTGTCATTGTTTGATTGCTTGATTACTTTTTATGCCTCGACCTTGTCACCTGAATAGTTATTTCTAAGATAACAATATGTAATATATTAATTAATGTCAATTCCTTACCATTTTTTAAAAATTCTGTATTATGTCTATCCTTTTTTTTCTGTTTTGCTTTTTTAAATAAAAAAAATCAAAAGCGCTGAGCTCAGTGTGAAGGCCCTAGGTTCAAACCCTAGTACTGCCATAAAAGGAAAAATAAAGTTGTAAAATGTCTATTTTAATTTCTTAGGACTTCTATAACAAAGTACCAAAACTGGGTGCCTTAGAAAAATAGAAATTAACCTTCTTATAGTTTGGGAGACCAGAAGTTCAAATTCAGTGAGTCAGTAGAGTTAATTCTTTCTAGAGAATCTGGGAGAATCAGTTCTATGCAGCTCCCAGATCCTGGTGGTTGCCCACGGTTTTTGGAATTCCTTGGTCTACAGACACATCACTCCGTCTCTCTTCATCTCTAAGTAGCGTTCTGTGTCCAACTGTCCCGTTTATAAAGGTACCAGTCAACATCTGGCCTAGTATGACTTCATCTTGATTATGTCTGCAAAAACCCTATTTCCAAATAAGATCCCAGTCACAGATATTGAAGCTAGGTCTTGGTATATCTTTAGGGGGCACGACACCACTCACAGGAGTGCCTTTTATTTTACTATACAGCAGCCCCCACCCCTCCTTGAATTAACCTATTCCTTTCCTACTCTGCTCATGTTGCTTTTTTTTTTTTTTTGTCTTTTTCATTTTTACCGGTACCAGGGATCGAACTCATGACCGACTGCTTACAAGGCAGGTGCTTATGCCGCTGAGCTAAATCCCCAGCCCACTCTGCTCATGTTGACAACTGCCTTTGCCCATTTTCTAACAGGCTGGAACAGAGCAAGGCATCTGACAGTGGGATCCATGAGGCCACAGCCTGATGTCTATATTTTGTTACTCTCTCTGATATAAGATTCTATGTAGTCATTTTGAGGTCTAGCTAGAATTAAGAGCTTAAAAGAAATCTCAGTATCTTTCTGACTGATGGATTATGGCCCTGGGTCACTGTAGGCCATGGTGACACAGAAATCTTTGCAGGTGTGTATACTCAATATATTTTATTCTTTATTTTTTCCTGCAGAATAATGCAATTAAGACATATAAATACAACGTATTTACCTTTCTACCCCTGAATTTGTTTGAGCAGTTTAAGAGAGCAGCCAATATATATTTTGTGGGCCTTCTTATCCTACAGGTAACGCTTTATGATACTTTATATCTGTTGTGAATTCTGACAGCTCAATAATATCTAACGTGTGGTCATACAGTATGGATGATCTTAGAAGTGTTTCATATTAATGTCAGGCTTTTCTACCTAAGCAGTCACTGCCTCCTGCCCAGAACAGGCTCGATTTGTATTTGAACAGGAAAAGAGAACAAAAGAAAATATCATTTTATGTCTTAAAAAAGTTCAATTTTGAACTGATGAGAGTGTTAAAACTGGTTAATGGTGGAGTGAATAAAATATAACTCTTACTTTAGAGTTGTTTATACTTTTAAATTATTTTATTTTTTAAAAAAAGATAATATAAAAGAGGACATAACACAGGTCAGAATAGAACAATTTAAGCAATATAGTGTTTCACCACTAGACAACCCAAGATAACAGTAGCTACCATAGTGTTTATTTCCTTGAAATATTTGAGCAGACCTTCATATACTATAATATACTTTAAAATTAAACCTACCTCTATGCTTGTCATTTTTTTATTTAGTTGCCTAGTTTTCATGAGTATTATTATTATTAATATTTTAGTCATAAAGCTCATGTTATTTTGCAGACTTTTACATTAGAAAAGACTTTTCTGATTTTAAAAAATCATGACAAAAACATTCACTTATTTGGGTAGCAAGACATTTTTATGTGTAGGACAGTTGCTATATTCAACTCATTTAACTTAGTGTTCAGTCAGCCTTTAGCACCTGACAAGCTGCTCATAACGGCAGTGTATCTACTTTGCTGTTACAAGGGGTGGATTTGGAAAACAGTCCCATTGCTGGGATTCACCTATTAAGACTATAAAATGGCAATGTGGGTGCTTTGGTGGGGGTGAAGGATGCACTGAGTGAAGAGGCGAGGAAAGGGCGACCCTGGGGAGAAGAGGATACTCAGTAGATTTGGTAGGACATAATACCTGTTGACTTAGGGCCGGGAGTGTGGCTCAGTGGTTGGGTGCTTGTCTAGCATGTGCAAAGATTGGGGCTCAGAACCCAGAACCACAAGAAAAGACATTTGATTGTAAAGGATGCTCCTACTATTACAGGCGAATGTTTAGACAGAAGTGAACATCCAAGCAGTAAAGAGCTGTTATGAGGTCAATGTGTCGCTTTTCCTTTACTTCCTTCTAGAGGGAGAAAAAGGAAGACCCACATATTCACAGTGTTGTGGGAAAGGATCTTTCTTCCAACCACACCACTTCTGTTAAGGTGCAATAATCCAGGGCTGGGGATTTAGCTCAGCGGCATAAGCACCTGCCTTAAGCAGGCGGTAGTGAGTTCGATCCCCGGTACCGATAAGAAGAGAGAAAAAAAAAAGGTGCAGTAATCCAAATTACAGTGACAGTAGTAGCCTTAGACAGCCCTTCCCTCCATGATTACTGCATTTAATCTGAAACTCTATGAGATAAGCATCAGCATAACCACTATTTTGCCGAGATCTGAGGCAGACTGAGGTAAACAAAGACACTGATCAGAATCCCAAAATCTGTGTTTATAGAGCTGGACAGGGCTGGACCCAGTTTAACTTTAAAGAATCACCACTTGGTATGACCCAGTGATGCACAAGATGGTCACAAAACATCATAATGAAACTTCTTCCCAATCTTCCATTCAAATTGGGAAAATGTCTTGACAGAGGAGGAACTTTTTGTAAGGCCAGCCCCATTCTGGCTGGACCAGTAGCAATAGCCATGAAATGATTACTTTCTTCAAATGCCCCAAAGGTATTCTACCTGGTCACTAAGTATCAGAAGTGGCCATCTGCTGCCATCTTGGCCTGTGTATGAGACTCCCAGAAATCACAGCCTCTGAGCAGCCTGCTGCATGCAGCCCATATGCCTTTCCTAAAACTTAAGGACTACTTTCCCCCTACCCATTCCACCCCTTCAGTTAATTATGATTTTCACAAAAAGGGCAGTGCAGTTCCCTTTTAGGTTACAAAAGTTCTTTTTTAAATCATATTACAAAACTTCCTTGGAATCCAGTTAAAGTCACAATGAAATAATTTCACAAACCACTGACCATATATAGGGTCTATTCTGTGTGACCAGAAGCTTAGACAGAAAGAGTTGGATGGATGCTTAAGTGCCCTTTCCTATATGGATTGTGGGACGCAGACTTACGTGGTAAGGGAAATTAGAATTAGCAAGCTTAGAGTCAGCAACCCATTACCTATAAGTTAGCTCTGCTATCATAGGTACTTCACATACGCCTTTTTTATTTCTGTTAGGCAATTCCTCAAATATCTACCCTGGCATGGTACACCACACTTGTGCCCCTACTTCTGGTGCTGGGCATCACTGCTATCAAAGATCTGGTGGACGATGTGGTAAGGATTTTATTGTATAATCCCAAATATTGAGTTTAGTCATTCAAATATTCTAATCTTCTTTATAGTTTTCACATAAGCCAAAAAGTTATATTTGTAATCCCATTGAAATGTTATTGGAATCCCAGCAAGTTAATTTTAATCTATCACTACTAATGCAACCCACATCGAGAGTAAAGACACCAAGACATATTCCAAGGGCAGCCAAGGGGGCCTAAGTCTAATCCTCATGAGGACATGTGGACAAAAGCCTCCATCCTAGGCCTCTCCCAGAATTTATTATCTTGTGAAGAAGGGGGATGGCTCTGGGATGAGTGACAGTGAGGATGGTGGGGGATTATGTGAGTAATTTGAGCTGGCTGGCCAGGTGCAAGAATGGCATCTCTGTAAATTGCAGAGATAAAGATATGCCCAAGGATCAATTTACATAATCTAGTTAAGGCAGCTATGGAAATCTTTTGGGAGCTGTCACTTTGGTTTTTGATATGCAACCTCTTGTGCCCTGGGGAGTCCAGTAGCCTCTTTATCTTAAGGCTCTACCCAGTTGACATTCCCAGAGCTACTGGCTCTAACATCTCTGCTGTGCTCATATCCTGTACATATCGTATATGGAGAACACTGCAAAAAAACAGGATTGTCTCTTGGCTTTAGAGATTACATACCAACACCTTGGCTAGCCTTATTTACAATACTTAGAGCCAATTAAAGAGGAAAAAATACCTTAGCCAGCTTTTTACATATCAGTATAAAAAAATGAGTCTCCAAATAAAGTCACAATAATGGTTTTATATTTAAGAGGAGTCACCAGAGTTGTCTCACACAGATTTCTCACACAACAAACTGTTCAACTTTCTCCTCTGACCATCTTTAATTTAGCAGTGGTACACATGTATTGAAGTGATTAAAACATTCCTTCATTTTTCTTCTAAAGGCTCGGCATAAAATGGACAAGGAAGTCAACAATAGGACATGTGAAGTCATTAAGAATGGCAGGTATGTTGCCTCCTTCAATTTGTAATTTAGGTACAAAGAAATAATACACACATTTGTCTGGAAACATAGTTTGAGTTGTTGGTAAAGTTTTTCATTGTGAAGACGTCTCTTAACTGCAAAGACACTCCATGGCCTTCATGGCTCCGAGGCTACACAGCCCAAATTGGACTATGCGCAGATGGTGACTGGCATTCATACAGCAACTTCAGCATCCAGTGAGCTTCATCTACCTCTGCTGTTCTTAGACTTGTCCCCTTTGGGCTTTGCTTGTGCAGGATGCTTGACGCCTTCCCTATCTGTCAGCAAAATGATTTCTCCCTTCCCTGTGCTTGAAGAGTAATTTTTTTTAATTATCATGTATGAATCATATTAGATTTTTGTAGGTATCTCTCCTTCTGAACTGAGCTGTAAGCTTCTTGAGGATGCTGTCCTAGCTGTGACACGTAAGAAGTGCCCAAAAAATGTTTGTTCAATAAGTGTAGTCAGCTGTGACCAAAGTCCCAGCTCATGGATTGGTAGTGAGTTGTTCTTTGACCAACAGCCTCAAGGCAAAACTGTAAATTCAGGTCCTAAAAACAGTGACTAAAACCCACGTCAAAGACTTTTTAATGTGTTGTTATTGAGGCAAAGACTTTTTAATGTGTCAATATTTGAGGCAAATAACCTGGATATTTCCACTGTATTTAATTTAAAAATAGACATCACCAAGTTGTAAATATGTTAACATGGTTTTTCTCCTTTACAATAGATGGATTTCTGTGAGAAATGTAAATGAGTATTTTCTATGATGTTTAATACCAAAGATAGTCATCTTTGGTATTATCATTTTACTAATGATACATCATTTTACTAATATTCTTATTTCTTTGATTATAAAAGTGAGGTCTACTCAGTAAGAAGAGAACTTAAACACTAGAAAGGACACCAGCTCTGAAGAGGTCTAAGAATGAGGATTCTTGGTGCCCACAGGAAGCTACATTATGTTTTGTCCTGGGCACTGAACAGGTGGTGGCTGCCTGAGAGGGAGGGAAGCGTAAAGGGAAGCAAGACAGAGTGAAAACAAAAGGGTGGCACCACCCCTGCCACATATTGAAACAGCCTCGGTGACCGGTTAGGCAGGGTGGACAGAACACATCAAAGCACTGCTGTTGCTTCCTGTGTGTGTGGTCACATCATTAAAAGGGTGAACAGTTAACAAACATTTCCCCTGTGATTTACACATCTTTCTGAATGTTTGACATCCAGAAAAAATAATAATTCCCCTGTTTGAAACTTAAAAACCAATAAACTCCCATTATTTTTAATACTTAGGTTCAAAAGTACCAAGTGGAAAAACATTCAAGTTGGAGATGTCATTCGTCTGAAGAAAAATGATTTTGTTCCAGTAAGTGAAAGCCTTCTGCCTCTCCCATTCCTGTCCTCCCCAGCCTGTACTCTCACCCTGAAGACTCCGTGTCACAGGTGCCTTTTGTTTTGAACAGGCTGACATTCTGTTGCTATCCAGCTCTGAACCTAATAGCCTCTGCTATGTGGAAACAGCCGAACTTGATGGGTGAGTGTGTCTCTGATGGGCCCAATTCAACATCAGTGTTGGAGGATGTGCCCTGCCAGGTGCCTGGGTGCTCCAGGCAGGAAACCTTAAGACCTAGTCCTGCCTCTGCCACTTGCTGGCAGTCCAACAGTGTTCAGCATAAACTGGCCTTTCTTTTCCCCATTATAGATAGATTTTGGTCTTATTTTGGCTCCACTGGTTTCAGTCCTTCCATTTGTACCTTTTGAAATGGGAATGTTTCACTTGTGCCATTGTGGGTCCACAGTGTTTAACTTTCCTTCTGATTTTCATAAGGGCTCTCCACTAAGGGTTTGCCTTAAATCTCAGAAGAGACTGTGGGCTTTGATGTTTCAGCAGTGCTGACATTGTTAGGACTCTGACAAGTCTTACAGCTATGCTAAATGCCTTTTGCATAAAAGGACACACATGAGTCTGTTAGGGACCAGGGGCAGAATTATGGTTTAGATCTAGATGTTCCCCCAAAGCTTTGTGTGCTAGTAGGTGGGGCATTTGGGAGATAATTGGGTCATGAGGGCTTGATAGTCATCAGTGGATGAGTTTATAGCTGATTTGCTGTTAGGAGGTAGGATCTGATCAGAAGAGATGGACCAGTAAGGACATGACCAGGAAGAGCTAATATCTTCCTGCTCTTAACTATATGTGCTCTCTGTGGATAAGTAACTAAGAGAAATCTGTCTTAGATCACTGTGACACAATACCTTATTTCCAGAACTTAAAGGAAGAATGGTTTACTTTGGTTCATTTTGGCTTCTAGTTGATAGAGGTTTCAGCCCATAGTCAGCTGGCTCCAAGTCAGGACAACGTGGCAGAGTGGATGGCAAGAGGAAAGCTACTCATGGCATGATAGCAGAAACCTGGGAAAATGTATACGGAAGATCAGAGAAACATAAATACTTCTAGACCATGTCCTCACACCCTATGACCCACCTCTTTAACCAAACGCCATATCCTAACAGCAAGTCAGCTATAAATTTATCAGTGCACTAATCCACTGATGATTATCAAAACTCAATGACCTACCCAAAAAGATCCCCAATGATCCACTCACCCACCCCTCAATGCCCTGCCTATGAGTCCATGAGCTTTGGAGGGGTCATCTAGATCTAAACCATAACATCCTACCCATATCACCCAAAACACTCATGCACTTCCTTTATATAAAAGGCACTCAGTCCATCTCCAAGTTTCCCAAGTCCTAACATTTCAGCATTGCTGAACAGTCCAAGTCCAAAGTCTCCCCCGAGTTTTATGGGATCTCCCAGAGTTCTCAGACCCTGCCTTTGCCCACTCTTCAGGGAAGATGAAAGTGCAAATGGGAAGTAAGTGCGTGGGCCCTTTAGAAACTGATGACAAGTATCCAGAGGAACAGGAATGACTATGGATATTATTTGATTCAAAGAAGAGAATATAGTTTTTAAGTCTTTACCAATAAGCAATTTTGAATTTCCCCTTTTTGATTTTAGCTATTCTGCCAAAACATAATAAAGAAAATAAAGTTTTGACCAGTTTTCAGTACATTTATTTGATGTGTACAAGGTTGCAGGCACATTATATTTAGCTTGTTTAAGCTTTTTAACAACTCCATGAGATGAGCATTATTAATTATTCCCTTGATCACCCATGAGGAAACCAAGGCCCAGAGAGATGAAGTAGCCTGCTCTAGGTCACACAGTAAGTGGCAGTAGGGACCCTGTTCTCTGTGTTCCTTGTTTCTTACACCCCAAAGCCATATTCACAGAGCTAAAATCATGAGTTAAAAACCTAGACCTTTCCTTGCTCTGTTGCTGAGTCAGCTGACAATTCAATCTCAGCTACAGAATAACTATTAATCTCACTGATGAGAGATTCTAAAGGCTTATGAAAGTATGAATTCTTAACAGGCCCTGTCAGAACAGAGTGGTGGAGCTGGGAACCATTGGTCAGTTTCCTGATAAGTAGGGATGTTTGACTGGGTATCTGTGAGGCCCATAAAGGGCTATCCATGGTAACAAAGCAGCCTTGCTCTGAGAGTGCACATCCTGGCCTGCCCCCATGTGTCCATGCGCGGTGACCTTCCCTTGCACTAGGGGTGGGACAGGCCAAATATTGGGGGTGGGGCTGCCACTTCCTTTCCCAAATCTGCTTGTTCCTTCTAGAAAATAGTTTGACCAGAAGTTTAAAAAAATGCCTACAGGATTTTTTTCCTTCCTTTTTTTTTTATTAGTATGTTTGCAATAAGTAGTAAATGCATTCATTCATCATGGGGAATTTATATATAGCATAAATATTATATATATATATATATATATATATATATATATATATATGTATGTACAAGGGATTGAACTCATGACCTCATGTTTGCCAGACAGGCGCAGTGCCACAGAACTAAATCCCTGGCCTATACAGTATATTTATAGTATATATTTATGTAAAATAAATATATACTATAAATATATATTTCATATAAATATATAAAACTATATATATAAAAACTTGTTTGAATCATCTTATTGTGGTGAAATACTAGAAGCTACATTTTCAAACAGCAGTTTGGCTAACAGGAAAGAAGGAAATGAGAAATCAATGAGAAAGATGTTATGGGTGTTTTGTCCTAAGTGTTACAATAGCGAACAGTAAAGGTAACCAGCATTTCTCAGATCAAGAATTTTTCTCTATAGTTTTGAGGGTAACCTCACCCAAACTGAGTTTCAAGATGAACAATGAGTATAAAGATAGAGCAAGTTAGGGCTGGAAATGTAGCTCAGCAGTAAAGCACTTGCCTAATATGTGTAAGACTGGGTTTAATCCCAAAACTAGAAAAAAAAGAGAGAGAGAGAATAAACTAATGATTTAGCCTTCATGTCTCAGTGTGTTTAATGTTACCTTGTATGTGCTATTTTATATCCCTTTTGAAGTCTAAATTGTGTTCTTGTAATTATTTTTCCCCACTTTAGAGAAACCAATTTAAAATTCAAAATGGCACTTGAAATCACAGACCAATACCTTCAAAGAGAGGATACCTTGGCAATATTTGACGGTTTGTACAAAACATGTCTTACTTTGTTTTAAATTTTAGTTACTTGATTCAGTCCATTAATTAAAACCAGAAAACCCTTCCTATGTGATTAATAATGTGAATCATACCTTTCCTAAAGGTTTTATTGAATGTGAAGAACCCAACAACCGATTAGATAAGTTTACAGGAACACTATTTTGGAGAAAAAGAAGTTTTCCTTTGGATGCTGATAAAATTCTGTTACGTGGTTGTGTAATTAGGAACACCGATATCTGCCATGGATTGGTCATTTTTGCAGGTACTTTGAGTTTTTCTTGGGAAATTGATCCACTATGAGCTCTTAAGATTTAAAGGAAGAGGGCCGGGGCGTTAGCTCAGCAATGTAAGCACTTGCCTGGTAAGTGTAAGATCATGAGTTTGATCCAAAAGATTTAAAGGAAGAAATTGCTTTTCAGTCCTTTTTTCATCAGAACCAAAGGAAGAATGATTATATTGACATGCTAGTTAATTGATTTACCCAATTGTTAATCAGATTGAATTTTCCATTTTTAGGTGCTGACACTAAGATAATGAAGAATAGTGGGAAAACCAGATTTAAAAGAACTAAAATTGATTATTTGATGAACTACATGGTTTACACGGTATTTATTTTCCATTTCAGTAGATGAGAAGCTAGATTGTCTTTTGCTCTAATTTGTTGTTTAGCTCTCTAATGCAAAAAAAAAAAAAATGCCTCTGTAGATGGGGTAGAAAAATCTTGGGCTTTATTTATTGCTATCAGTTTTCCATAAGGATAGTCTTCTTAAAAACATTTTTTGTCCCATATGTACTGCACAAGTCCAAATATAAGGAAAGACAAAACATAAAGGGTGCAGAGTGTCTTCAGGCCATACCCAGGTTCCATGATGGTCCAGGAGGCCCCATAGCAGTTACAGTATGATTATACTCATGGCTGGGACTTACTACAGCAAACTGATAAAAACCAAATTGAGCAAAAGACTCACAGGGCAAAGTCCAGGGGTAACCACGCATAGGCTCTTATCACACACAAGAGTCATTTAATTCCCTCCAGCAATGATTCATGACATCACATGTGAAATGTTGTCTTCCAGGGAAGCTCACTAAACTCTTGCCCAGGATTTTTAACTGTGTAGGCACCATCGGCCTGGCATGCAAGGTAGTCAGCATAAACTGTGCTGCCAGCCTTGTTGGGCACAGTGAACTACTCTTATCAGAGATTAAGAAATAAGGAACTAGAAAACCCTTTCAAAATTGAAGATCCCAGATGCCAAAGAAAGGCCAAGCTTGGGAGAAGGCCTCTTGAGGAGAGCAGTCTTAGTTCTGCAGTATTGGTGCTTTATTTATTTATTTATTTAATGGTGAGCCCATATATTAAACAGACCTCCAACTTCTTATTCTCAAATTTTTAATTCAATTTGAATATACAAACTCTTTGGGACTTATAATTATAATGCTTTACTGTACACACATATTGAAAGTCACATAAAGGTAATATAGTAATTTAACGAAAAGCTCTTTTTTCTCTGTGCTTCAGTTTCATGAAAATTTTCCTTGAACTTGACATGCTTATCTTTACTGCACCGTGGTGATCATGTCTAGAGCCCTCCCAAAGGGTCCATCATCTGTCTTCTGTGCCAAGTTGTTTTGACACATAGCACTTTTGAAAATGCACGTTTAGAAATGTAATTTTCTCTCTGGAAATTGTATTTCCAGTTTCAAATACTATACACAAATACAACTAGGATGGTTTTAATTTGTCCCATAAGTATATACTCATCATTTCCACAACATAGGGATTATTGTATTCCTTCTCAAGTGGTCTTATTTACAATACAATGCAGTCTTTAAGACATTGTACTTTCAGAAATAATTACTCAAATATATGTGATGGTTCCATTTAAACAAGAAATTATTATCATTCAATATTTTTATAAGGAGCCTAGTTTATCATACTTTGACATTGTCTCATGCTAAGAAAAGCTATCCTCCCAAACAGTCCAAGGTAAAATAATTGAGAGCATAGCCTATAATATGAAAGTCTTTAAGATTTGAATATAGGCTACTACCATCTCTTTTAAAAGATAATTCTGGGAATAAACCTCACCATATATGTATAATACCGAATGAACCAATCAGTCATAACCATCAAATAGACTTCAAACCATTCTTATACTGTTTTATTTGCAGTACATTCATATTGCAGACTATTAAATTATCATAAACAATCATAAAATAGGTTAATTAGCTCTAAAATGCACAGGGTTGGAAATCCACCCTTAGAATACTTGACCTGGCTTCCTATCTTGTAGATCTTCGTTGTTCTCATCCTGCTTTCTGCTGGCCTTGCCATTGGTCATGCTTACTGGGAAGCGCAAGTTGGCAATTACTCTTGGTACCTCTATGATGGAGAAAATGCCACGCCCTCCTACCGTGGATTCCTGAATTTCTGGGGCTACATCATCATTCTGAACACCATGGTGCCCATCTCTCTCTATGTCAGGTAAGCCTGTTTCTTGGCCTCTTGCTTTCATGGAAGACTACAGTATCTAGTTCCAATTTAGCACCTTCCTGTCTAGCAATAATTGTTTCAAAGGTCAAAAGGAACAAATAAGAAAATAACGGCTATTTCAAAACTGATAGTAATCCAGGGGAAGAAAAGAAACCTTGGAGTATCTGTCGGTGCCAGGCACCTGCTATTTATTTTCATTACAGATAAAGCTCTGGTGTTCAGAGGTCAAAGGTCACGGTCAGTTCCTTCTTAGTGTGTTCCAAGGCCCAGCATCCCACCCTCTTAGCTGAGCCTGGCCCATTACCATCTGCCACACCTACCTTTGCTTGTCACACTTAAGACCTCTCTGTCACTACCCCCTGGTGGGAAGGAGGGTTTTGCCTTCCTCTAGCCTCTCACGAGGTTCTACAGCTCATCTCCTTGTCAGTCAACTACAACAAAGGATCAAGGTTGTATCTCTGACATGTGTCAGTCACTTTGGAGATATTTCTTCCTTTTTCTTTCATATTAGAGTTCACTGTCACTGGCCAATTGGATTTTACACCTCTGAAGGAGGAACTGTGCCTTAGAATATACTTTACAGTCAAAGGGAGTTTTTAGTTCCAGTAAATAATAGTCCAGAGGCACATGGGATCCCCTACCACGCACACACCTATAATTAGAAGCTTTTAATTTTATTATATGTACATTTGTTTTGTTTTTAATCTTATTATATGTAATTACTGTTGTTCTACTGATGGGAAATAAGCCCTGGGGCAGCCATCTGTCCCCCAGCTCCTTTAAAGACTAAAAATAGTGACTGTTACACTTCTTAAAAGCACTATCTATCACACAGATTATTTTGTATGAAATTATCAATGTATGCTATAAAATAAACCCTATACTATATAAATTTGGGGTTAAAAAGTTATACTGCATGGGCTGAGGATTTAGCTCAGTGGCATAAGTGTCTGCCTTACAAGTGTGTGGTCGTGAGTTCAATCCCTGGTACTGATAAAAAAGAAAAAAAGACCAAAAAAACTTATACTGCAAGATAATTATACTGCAATTCTTTTATGTCTCTTGGATATTAATGAAGGTTCTTTCAGGTGTAAGTCATACTAAGTCATTCCAAAGAGCATCTCTGGTTTGTCTACTACCCCATGGGTACTTTCCAGCCCGTTTAGAATGGAATCACCGAGGCCACAGTACCAACCCTGAGACCCAGCAGGATCTGCCTGCCTTTCTAGGGCCCTGCCACTCCCAGTCCCTTGATGTTCCTTCTGCCCTAGGGTCTTTGTCCCTACTCTTATCTCTGCCTAGAACATTCTTTCTTAGATAGCTATATGCTGCTATTTCATTTTCTGCAGGCCTTTGCTCAGATGTCCCTTTATCAGCCCTGCTGTCCAGATCCACCTGATCTTAACCACTGCATCTCTTCCCTCTTGGTCTCCATCTCCCCTTTGTCTGCTTTGATTTTCTGCAGAGAACTTACAGCACCTATAGAGTACCTATTTACTGACTCTGTTGATGTAGTTGCCTTTACTACAAAGTAACCTGCTTAATGGCAGGAATTTCATCTGTCTTGTTTACTCATGTATGCTTGGTACTTGGTACAGTGTGGGTGTTTAGCAGGGCATATTTACAAAAGGGAAAAAGGGAAGGTGAGTTATTTTTCTATCTTTTTAACCTGTTATAATAGCATCCATTGCCTACTTGACAATTCCTGCACATGTAAATAGCTAATATTGAAATATATTTAATTCTTAGTTTGTTTTTGTGTTGTTGTTGTTGTTGTTTGTTTGTTTGTTTGTTTTGGTACTGCAGAAGGAACCTAGGAAAAAACATATGCTCCACAAATGCTCTACCCCTCGGCTACATCCCTAGCCCCTTATAGTTTTAAAATTGAGAAGGTATTTTTAGAATATCTTCTTTCAGACATTGTATAATCTTTTAAAGTAAAAAATATATATTTTTTTTTCCACAATCAGAGGTAACAATTTAGGAGTTATTTGCAAAAGACTATTGCCCTATTTGAGAGCATATGGCAGTCTGTCTCCTCATGTGCCCTCATCTCCTTTGCCCTATACCTGGGGGACATAGATCAATGCAGACATCCCAGTTGTCCCAAGTGCAACAGGAAATGACAAGGAAGAGACAGCCATGCCTGTGGCATTTTCTATGGGGTCATCTTGTCGCCCATTTTTTTGGCCTGGTTCTGAACATGCAACTCCAGGGCCTGATGTGCATGAGTGAGAAGGAATTCACATGGAGAAAATGGCTTTGAAGAACACTATCATTCTTAAGCCATCTTGACTCTGAAGCTGGAGTATGACATGTTTAGTGAGGCACCTGAAGGGTGAGCACATGGGCCACAGTATGGTTTATATCCCGGAAGATGTTATAAAAACATAGGGCCTTTTTATTTGTTTTCATTGCTATAATGTAATAATGTTAAACCAATTAACTTGGGGGTGGCGGAGACAGTTATTGTTTTGTATAATCCAGGCTGGCCTCAAACTTGTGATCCTTCTGCCTTAGCCTCCCAAGTGCTAGGATTATAAGCATGCACAGCTACCCCTGGCTTTAAACCAAGTAATGTATAGACACCAGAAATATACAGCTCACAGTTCTTTTGGCTGGGAAATCTAAGGTTAAAGGCAGCTTAGGTGGTGTCTGGTGCAGACTCCCTGCTTCATAAATGGCAACTTCTGGGATTTTCACATGGCAAAAAGGGAAAATAAGCTCCCTTACAGCCTTGCATAAGGATGCTAATCCCATTCATGAGGGTTCTGCTCTCAGACCTAACTACTTCTGAAAGGCCCAACCTCAGGACTGTTGTGACATATGGGTTGAGGGTAGGGCTGAGGGGTACTAACGTTCAGTCTGTAGCAGTAAATAAACAACTCATTCCTGTAAACACAAGTGAGAAAAATTCACCGCCTGCAACTCACATCTAAGTGCTCCATATAGCATAACCTTTTGTCTTCATAGTGTGGAAATAATTCGTCTGGGACAGAGTCACTTCATTAACTGGGACCTGCAGATGTACTACTCTGAGAAGGACACACCCGCAAAGGCTAGGACCACTACGCTAAATGAGCAGCTGGGGCAGATCCATTACATCTTCTCTGATAAGACGGGGACACTCACACAAAATATCATGACCTTTAAAAAGTGCTGCATCAATGGGCAAATCTATGGTGAGTGTGAGTACACCTTTCACAAGTGGACTATGAGCTTAGGAAATCTTTTCCATGAAATAATTTGAGACATGCTTTCGCTGACTAGACTCAGATAGGTATAAAATAAAAGGCATAGTTGGCTCTTGAATTAGGGTAGATGAATCATTCCCTTGTTGCTGCCGTGTGCTCAGCCTACCTCCCAAGAGTGCCTAGTACCTCCTGGGTAGACCCTGGTGCTGTGAGTATTCCCAGAAGAGTCATAAAGGAGTACTGTTGGGAAGACCTGCATAACAAAATTAATAGTCAGAAAGAAACACACCTTTCTCCATCTAAAAATTGAATCACCATACGTTCTGGGAATTTCAATTCTAGGAGTACACTGAACTCCAAGGAATTAAAAATGAGGACCCAAAGGATACATGTACAGCCATGTTCACAGCAGTATTGTTCACAATAGTCAAAAGGTGGAAACAACCAAATGTCCATGAAGAGATGAGTGGATAAGCAAGATATGGTACACTCAAACAAAAGAGTATTATTCAACCTTAAAAAGCAGAAAATTCTGACCCATGCTATAATGTGGATGAACCCTCAGGGCATTATGCTAAGTGAAATAATCCAATCATAAAAGACAAATATACATGTATGATTCAACTTAGAGTAATCAAACTCATAGAAACAAAATAGAATATTGATTAGCAGGAGGTAGGGAATAGGAAGTTGCTATTTAATGGGCATAGAGTGTCAATTATAGAAGATAAACACAGTTCTGAGTTTAGATGGTGGTTTCACAGCGTTAGGGATGTATTTCATGCTGCTGGACTGTACACTTGAAAAATGACTGCAATAGTAAATTTTATATTTTGTGTGATTCAACACAATTTTTTAAACATTAACTTCCATTCTAATTTTCTGAAACACAGCTTATGCTTACAAATAATACTAAAACTAATGCTGTATTGAAACAGAGTGCTCTAATTTTTAAATAATGACAATACAGTTTTTTAAAAAGGTTACAGGCACATGCATATTCTTTCCACTTAGAGAAAACTTTACTCTCTGAATGCATTTTCACATCAGTAAGGAAGCTGGACACAGGGGTGGATGATGTGATCCCATTAGTGGTGGCAGTCCCTCCAAGGAGAGTTAGGTAAAGGTCCCAGTGGAGTATAGAGGGACAGGTACCAGTATTTGAACACCTGGACCCAGGGATAGCAAACATTTTCTGTAAAAAGCCAGGTGGCAAACGTTTAGCCTCTGCAGGCAATACATGGTCTCTATCAAATAGTCTTTATTTTGCCCAACTCTTGAAAAATGTGAAAACCATGGTTAACTCTAGAATCATCCAAATACATGCTACAAGACCCACACTATCACCAAGTATGCAAAGCTAGGTTGGAGGGCAGAGGGGACTCTAGTCACAGGTGAAGACTCAATATGTTTTGTCTTATTTGTTTCCTAGGAGATCATCGAGATGCATCTCAACATAGTCACAGCAAAATAGAGGTGGGTTCTTCAATTTAAGGAACTGTTCGGAATATGTATTCATTTCCTAGAGCTGCCTTAACAAATTACTGTGTATTAAAACAGCAGAAATTTGTTCTCTTGAAGTTGTAGAGGCCAAGAGCTTGCAATCCAGGTGTCAGCAGAGTGAAAGTTCCAGGAAAGCATCCTTTCTTGCCTCTTCCCAGCTATTGTGGCTGTCAGGAATCCTTGGTGTTCTCTGGCTTGTTATAAGGCTCCAGTCTCTGCTTTTGTTGTCACACGGTGTTCTCCCAATGTCTTCATCTCTGTGTCCAAATTTCTCTCTTATAAGGACATTCGGCCTCCCATTCTAATCCAATATTACCTCATCATGATCACCGCTGAGAAAACCCTATTTCCAAACAAGGTCATGATCATAAGATTTTGGGTTTAGGACTTGGACAGACCTTTTGGGGGACATAGTTCAACCCACTGCAGGGTGCTTTTTACTGTAAGACAGATGTAAGCCTCTAACACTTTAGTCAAGAATGTGCTCAAATTTTAAGGTGGCTTTTGCATAATTAAAAACTTCAAAAGGGTTGTTAACACAGAAATATTTTTCTTAAATCACATTTCTTTCTCCACTCCTTTCAGCAAGTTGATTTTAGCTGGAATACATTTGCTGATGGGAAGCTTCAATTTTATGACCATTATCTCATTGAGCAAATATTATCAGGGAAGGAGCCAGAAATCCGGCAGTTCTTCTTCTTGCTCGCAGTCTGCCACACGGTCATGGTGGACCGAACTGACGGTAAGTGTTTCTCTGGCATCGCAGGCCTCAGAGGCCAGCTTTTTAGTTTGCAGGTGACTCATGCTCATGACTCAGATGCATATCGAATAGTACGTGTGACAAGTGTGTCTCACAGTCATTCAAGCCATGAGTATCTGCAAGCACCTATTGCTGGATGCTACATGGAACAACAAGCCCCAAATCAAGATTTTCTCTGGCAGTTTAAAACCAATTCACAGTTGTAACCCTGATTTATTCTTTTGTAAATAAACTTTTATCATTAAAAGAAAAGGTTGGCTCTTTATAACAGAAAACTAAAAATCTTTCCATTATATGATACTTTATTGAGAATGTAAAATCAGATATCTATATCGCAAGTGGAACTTAAACTTAATCTTTTGTACAATGATGTCAGAAGTTTCTTTTATTACTTAAATTCAGATATGCTTTGCTGGAAATTGTAACAGCTAAACCCTGGGAACCTTTAAGCTGTCATTCTCATTTGAAAATGCATAATTAATATGGATTTGCATGGGAATCAGCAGTGATGCTGACATTTAGGTTCACGGACACAATTTTTAAATCTGGTTTGTACCAGCTTTGTTACCAAAAATTCATCTGTATCAATGAAAACAAGTCATTTTGTCACATATAGGCATAATGAATTATATAGATACACATGTGTACTGTAAAAAGGTCAGAGGGAATTCTTTTGATATAACTATAATTAAGCACAGACTGATTTCATTTACCCACTTTCTTCATTCATTTCATTCCATTCTTTGTTATTGTTGTTTTATTTTATAGTCCTGAGAGCCTTTACACTGAGCTACAATCCCAGCCTTTTTTTTTTGAGACAAGTTCTCACCAAGTTACTAAGTCACCCAGGCTAGCCTTGAACTTGTTATCCTCCTGTCTCAGCCACCCAAAGTGCTGCAATTATAGCCATGTACCACCATATCTGGTTCATTCTTTCCTTTTTACTTCAGACACTGAACCATAGAAAAGTCCCTCTTGATGGGATGCCAACCTTCGTGTTATATAAGTAATACATAAGTCACAGAGAAGAAATATGCATTAAAAAATGAAATGTGTAGAAGCCATACGTAATATTTTAGCAAGTGTCAAAGAAGCTCATTCTCCATAGATAGTCTAATAATATTATACAGTGAGACTACAGAGTTTAAACTAGGGTGGATCCATCAAAAGGGCTGTTGGCAGTGAAGAGGAAAAGAATGGAAAGGGATGATACCAGGTCACAAGTTGCCAAGGAAGAAGTCAAAGTCTTTTTGACTGGCCCAGCAAATTTTACTTGTAGAATAAAAACTATGGCATTTTATAGCATCTTGGTTCATTTTGATTCATTAGTAAAATTATTCTTTTTCTGTTTGTGTGGTGGTATTTTGAGAGCTACACGGCCAACTTAAGAAAATATACATATATCAATGTTTAGATAGGCATGGTAGGGGCTGGGGATTTAGCTAAGCAGCATAAGCACCTGCCTTGCAAGCGCATGGTTGTGAGTTCAATCCCCAGTACCGATTTTAAAAAAAGTTTGGTAGGGGCTGGGGGTTTAGCTCAGTGGCATAAGCACCTGCCTTGCAAGCAGGCGGTCGTGAGTTCGATCCCCGGTACCAATAAAAATGAAAAAGACAAAAAAAAAGTTTGGTAGATAAGCATGGTGGTGCACACCTGTAATCCCAGCACTGTGTGAAGCTGAGATAGGAGAATTGCTAGTTAGAGCCCAGCTTATGCAACTCAAGTCAGTCCTGATTCAAAAGTATAAAGAAAAGAGCTGGTGATGGTGGGCTCAACCCTATGCAAGAATGAGAGAGTAAATTATATACAGAATACCATGTTCTTATCACCTTTTTCCCATTAGAATATTAGTAACAAAGCCTTGGACTGTGTGCTGAAGGTCCCTGTTAGAGTACTAGCTTCCTCCGTGCTGCTGTAAAAAGGCAGGATGTTCAAAGTCCCTTGTCCTGTCAAATGAGGTAAAGGATTGGACAACCCCTTTCTTCACCCAATAAATGACAAGCAGTTGTTCCAACTATTAGGAGTGGAGACAAGGTGAATTCCTTGGCATAGGAAGTTAAATAAGAAATTGGCTTCACTTTTGATCCATAAAGAATCATAGACTTCCTTAGGAGGAACCTCAAAGAAGAAACCTCAAAGACCACAACCTCCAATTTTAGAGATAGGGAAATTCAGACTCAGAAAGCTCCAGGGACCTGCCTGAGGTCATCTAGCAGCTGCAAACTCACCCTAGTGCAGCCGTTCATCATGTGGCTGCCCCTTCACAGTAAGCTCTTCTTTCTGGCTTTTATAAGAATAATGAAGGTGGGAGCGTGTTCTGTATTATGCATAACATCATCAAGAGAAGAGTATCATTTCATATATGTGGCCATGAAAATCTGACCTCAACACATGATTTGCACGGTCTGAATGTTGAGTACATGAAAAGACCATAATGAAGAGGCCACATTAGTTTCCTGTTACTTTGTAATCAGTTAATATAATTCAGGTACTTGAGACACATGCATATTTGCTCACAGTTCTCTAGGTCAGAAATCTGGGCGTGACATGACTGGGTTCTCTGCTCAGAATCTCACTGATATCAAGGTCAGATCATGTGCTTATCTGGAGCCCAGTATTTTCCAAGCTCATATAGCTAGGGTAGGGTTCAGTTCCCTGTGGTGGAAGGATTGTCCCCTCCATTTCCCTTTGGGATGTCAGCTAGGATTGGTTGCCCCTATAGGTTGGCTTCAATGCTTACAGTCAGTACCCTCTATCTTCAGTGCCAGAGGTTGAAACTCTTGTTCTAGTAAAAGCTATGGAAGTTCAGAACCGGGAAGGTTGGGAACCTGTCTTTCCTTTGGAAGTGATTAGCCACAGTCAGAGAGCTCACTTTACAGTGCCTCAGCCTCACAGTAGGCATGCTATCCTGGAGGAGAGAGATATGGAGCTGGTATGAAAGCCCAGGGTAGGATTAGGGTGAGATCTTTGGGGGGAATGAGAAATGGACTAACGTAGGAAACATATGGTAAAGATTTGAAGGGGGTAAGATGATTGAGGAGAGAGAAATCTGAAAGGTAGCTGGTTTCACAATTAATGAAAGAAAGATCTGACGTGCTGTAATCACCAGAAGCAGCTAGGAAATCTGAATAAAGAGAAACAAAAAGTGGCATGGTGTGGTTTGAGAATCTTTTTTTGTTTGCATGATTAGTCTATAAAATATGATTTTTCTGGTTGCCTTTAAGGGTGTGGTATATGAAGAATTTTCTATTAGTCTAAGTGTCTCCCTTTCTTCTTTATCATATGTCTAAAATTGAAGTTTGAACCAAGTCTCTGAGGTTTTTTTGTGTTTCCTTTGTTTTTTTGTTTCATTTTTTTCCCTCAAGTCTCTGATTCTATTACCAGGAGGCAGTGGAAGAATTTTCTTTTACCTTTAATGATCCAAATATCAAGGTGTTGGCTTCAGATAGGATTGTCCTACTCATGGTCATGTTACCGCCTTTCATTATCTTGTTTCTTTTCTCTGTTGGAAATAAGCTTGCTGTTAATATTATGTAAGGTATCACTCTGCCAACTAAAATTGTGAAGGGAGGTGCTCTGTTCTCACTGCAGCTTGCTTAGCTCTGGGTAAACAGTTTGCTCTCTGGCATTTGTGTATGTTTATGGAATGGCTGGATTTAGCAAGGACATTTATACTTTCTGGATGAGCAAATAGAAAGCAAGCCTACAGTGCCATCTTTAATCACTAGTTAATCCTGACTTAGAATGAATTATCTGAACCAGCACAAGAAGGAAGGAAAGTGGGAAGGGTTATTTAGTTCTGCCTATAACCACTTCCCCGGGTGCTTCCTGTCCAACCAAATAGGGATAGGAAAAGCTGCCCATGGACCGACCCATAGTTGGCAAACTGATTGTACTATGCTGGAAAACTAAATGCCCTTTTCTACCAAAATTCATCTGGTTTTCAAAATACTTTTCTTTTTGTTCAGAGACAGAATAACTTAGGCAGGAAATAGAAAATCCTGGGTAGACAGAGTAGATTTGGTGTCAGGGGTATAGCTCAGTGGTAGAAAGCTTACCTAATGTGCACAAGGCCCTCAGTTCGATCCCTGGAACCACAAAAAGAAAATCAAGATATTGATCAGATTGACAAAGTTTCATTGTTTTCTAATGAGAATATAGCAGTGGTAAAGGAAACACACTCTTCTGATCCTTTTAGAAAACAAAGTATAATTTTATAGCCTGGGCTTTAAAATGATTGGCGTACAGCTAGAGGCATGGTGTAACTCAGTGGGACAGCGTGCATTTTGCATGCACATAGCTCTGGGTTCTGTCCCCACCACCACAAACAAACAAACAAAAGTCAGTGTGCTCTAGCTCAGCATTTTTACTACCAGGAATCTGTCCCTTAAAAAACCGAAATAGAAAAAAATTTTTTCCTGTTTCGGTTTTTGAAACAGGGTCTCATTATGTATCCCAGGCTGGCCTCAAACTTGTAGCAGCCTTCCTGGCTCAGTCTCCCAAGTGCTGGACTTACAGGCCTGTGCCACCACACACCATAGAAAAAAATCTTTATACTAAAGGAAAGTTTATGTCATTTTTGAGATCGAAAATTTTGGAAATAAATTAAGTGCTTATGAAGGAAATGGTAACATGTTTACATTGATTTAAATAATGTATATGAAGAGTTTTTAAAGATATGGTAACACGTTCAAAATACAACATTAAAATAATCCAAATTATTTTAATCTACTCGGCATGACATCTACTCAGCATGTCAGAAACCATTCCAAAAACAGGCAGGATAAAACTCCAAAAGATTGAACGAAATGATAAAATGGTACAGCCAGTGGAAAATGTCCCTATGGGAATGTCCCTATTCTGACCAGTTGTTTTATTTCTAGTTTCTATTACCATTTATAATTCAAAATGAAGTTTAAAGTATAAGGAGCTTTATTTTGGCACAGCTTTATTTTGGATCAGTGGCTAGTTTTCTTGGGGATGCACTGAACTTTGCAGAGGATGCTGAGACTTGGGGATGAGCTCTGTGTTAGTTTCACAGTTTCTCTGGGATTTCTTTCCTGCTTTCCCTGTTAGGTCAGATCAACTACCAGGCAGCCTCTCCTGATGAAGGTGCCCTGGTAAACGCTGCAAGGAATTTTGGCTTTGCCTTTCTTGCCCGGACACAGAACACAATCACCATCAGTGAGCTGGGCACTGAGAGGACCTACGATGTTCTTGCCATTTTAGACTTCAACAGTGACCGGAAGCGAATGTCTATAATAGGTAGGTCTCTTTAAGATTCTATGGCTCAGGGGCTGGGGATTTAGCTCAGTGGCCTAAGCGCCTGCCTTGCAAGCAGGCGGTTGTGAGTTCGATCCCTGGTACTGGGGGGTAAAAAAAGAAAGATTCTATGGCTCACTCACTTCAGTGTTGCTTTAACCTATTTTATTTACCAATGCTGGGATAAAGCAGGTAATAAATGAACTGTTCGGCTCCTGGAGGCTGCCCAAAGACTTGAAGAGAAATTGGTGATTTTTTTAAACTCTTTTCTTCACCATGTCCGCTACACAAAGGGACATTTTGGCCTATCAGAATTCTGCAGATGCTGCTGACATTCTTGTGCATGAAGGCCTCCAGCTGCTAAATCTGGAAAGGCAACTGCAACTTGCCCCAGCAGCTGCAGACAGCTTGCACCACTGCCCATGGAGTTTGCTTTTCCAGCTTCTCAGCACTTACTTTCTATACTTGATGCCAAAAGGGCGGACTCAGCAGGCGACGCAGTTGTGAGAAGAGGGAGGGTAAGAAGAGGGAGGGTAGGGCTTATGAGTCACGATCCTACCTTTAGTCCAAGCTCTTAACAATAAGCCACCGAGTGGAAATGAGAATCACTCCCTAATTCTGAAGTTATTTTTTTTTTTCAGCTAGTAATTTGAAATAATTTTAAATTTATGGAAGAGTTGCAAGGCTGGTTTCAAGGGCTTTTGTGCATCCCTTAATATCCACCACTTGTTAACATGTGCAGTACCTTTCAATTTCATGATCTATACGAGTTACTATCTTCTGAACCATCTGAGAATAAACACAGACTTCATGATCTAAATATATTCGTAAGGATTTCTGAAGAACAAGAAATTTCACTCCTACGAAGTAAAATGACCAGAATCAGAAAATTTAACTCTGATACATTATATAATCTACAAACACTTCCAAATTTTGCCAGGAAATTGCTTTCTAGTTTTCTGGTCCTCTCTTCCCTTTATCCCATGGTCTCTCCTTGTTTACCTTCCTCTCTCTTGCCCTCTCTTTAGGTTTTCATAGTCCAGAATTTAATACAAAATTACACATTGCATTAAATGATCATACCTTCAACTGTTTTTTGATCTTCCATATATATACAGACATTTTTGAAAAGCTCAGGCTAGGTATTTTGTAGAGTATTCCTCAGTTGGATTTGTTTGGTGTCCCCTCATGATTAGATAATCCAGGTTATATATCCATGATAGGACAGTATATACCTGATTCTGTGACCTTGGGTCACAGCAGAAGGCATATAATGTCACTTTGTCTCATTACATTAGTGGCACTAACTTTGATGATTTAGTTAAGGTTGTGTCCATAAGCATTCTCCTTTATGAAATGGAATTTTTAACCAATAAAAATATTTAAGTCTGTCTACTGAACTTTTAACTGATTTCTGTGTATCTAACATTGGTCTGGACCTACTGTCATGCCTGGCATCTGTGTTGGAGATCTTGAAATCTAGTTAGTAATGAGGCACATACTGCAATTAAATTATGGGCAGATCAAAATACAAGAAAATGATCCCAGGTGGCATGTTACGAACTGACATGTGAAGGGTTCATAGGTAAGAAACATTCATTGGCATGGACAAAGAAAATTCTATGGGAAAAAATAACTAGCCCAGGATGTAGTCCATCATAAGGAATCTAAATGTTAAAAGAAGAGGTAAACATGGAAAACTGAATTGACTAGGATGGAGACTTTTCATATTTATTTCACTGTTATATTCACTGTAGACAGCGGCTCACCAACTTTGTTGAGGGAACACTTTTCTAGATGCATTGAAGGTATTAAATAAACTCAGGAATTATGAGCAGAATAACTCTTCATATGAACTTTATAAATATAGTTTTCTATTAAGAACTTAACTCCATTGTGTTTTCCTTGCCATGCTTCCTTGCTACCAGTGAGAACCCCCGAAGGCAACATCAGGCTCTACTGTAAGGGTGCTGACACTGTGATTTATGAACGGTTACATCAAATGAATCCTATAAAGCAAGAAACACAAGATGCCCTGGATGTAAGTCTGATTTTTTTCTGTGCCTGCTAGATATTCTAGGCCTACTTTCCAGTACTGTCTATTAAGCTCACACAAACGCTACATGCTAGCTGTAGACCCTTCCCTTACTTTGATATAAGCACCAAAATAGGAATGTGGTCAACTGGGTAGTAGTTCTGCCCTGCTTCTGACATCCTAGGAAATGACCACGCAGCCCTTTCCCAGCAACCAGATCTGCAGGTCTGAGTGGCCTGTCTGTCTTCCAGCAATCTTGAGCAAGCTACAACCACAAGGTGTTATCAAAAAATGCAGTGTATGTTTAAATTTCTAAGAGTTTATTAACTCTTATTATCATAAGAGTTATGTAAACATTGCCATTAATCCTCCTTGCTTTGAACTCACTTATCCCGTTGTTCTTCTCACTTTCTGAATCAGTTCTGGAAGTCATCTTTTGTGAGTGTCTAATTTTATTGCATTGTCATGGTTGCCTTTATGTTCTGAATAAATTGAAAGTGTTTACCTTTCGGGGTCATTTTGACTTTGGAAAAGAGCCAGAACTTGCACATTGTCAGATCTGGTGAATTATGGGGGGTGAGGACCATCACAATGTTTTCATGAGCCTCTCTTTTCTATATTTATCCTATCACATAAAGATACTCAAGAAAGAGGACTTCCAGAATTGCTTCATAAAATATCAAGAATGTTGGAGTAAATGTGTTCAAAGTGAGGGGGATACTTTGAGGGGAGTTATAGCAATGTGTCTTTTAATGTAAAAAGAATTTTTTTTGGTACCAGAAATTAAACTCAGGACCTTGCACTTACCAGGCAGGTGCTTATGCCACTGAGCTATATCACCAACTAGAAATTTAGTTTTGAAAAATTAATTATTCACTGAATATTTTGATCAGTGTTGTACACTAAACTGTAGCTTTAATATTTCTGTGACCCCAAAACTCCATCAACTTTTTGCTATAGGGTGAAGATAAGAAATCATTCTTATAAGACAGAGAGGGTAACAAAAAAAAAAACTTGAAATATTGTGCTCTGATGCCTTTGTTAGAAAAAAAGTTTGGTCTTTACATCAAAGCCCATATCTTAGCTGTCTAGTGATATTGCAGAATATTTCTAGAACTTTCTAGGAATTGTCTGCAAGTCCTCAAATTGTTTGGTTTTGTGTGATGATGGCAGTGGGGTGCAGAGATCAGCCAAAAGTTGTGTCCCTGTTCTGCCTCTTCACTAGATTTACTATATGGTATGAACCATTAATTCCCTATGTGAAAAGAAAGAATAATTCCTACCCTGAAAAGTCTTTGCAAGAGAAAACATCTTTGCACTTAGTGGATCATTAATAAAGAGTACTGTTCTCTTTAGTTTGAACATTTATTTAGGTTTAGGGCCAGTCAAACGTCCTGCAGAGAGAGAAGCCTGATGAATGTGTAGTTTATTAGTGGGGTTACTCTTTAGATTATATACACTCACTAATGCAGATAAAATGAAATGATTATCAGGAGGATGTGAACACTGTCAATTTAATCAACTAAAACCTTCTAAAGAATTTGAAAGTGAGTACTTTGTTGGCCTGTTCTTCTGCCTTGGTTAGGTAAGATGTGACTATGAAGAAAAAAGATTTTCATTAGTTCATTTTGCAGTTATTTTGAATTATTTAAATCTACTCACTAAAGGAAAATTTACAATACTTTTTCTCCTTAAAATGTTTGACCTCAGCTTTAATATCACTCACAGATTTTAGAGCTGATCTGAGTATTGGTTGAGATTCATACTCATTGGAATTGTAACGTTTTATGGGTACACTTTGTAAAGTCATCCTTGTCTCTGTTTACACCCTTTATTATTTTCTTAGTTATTAAGAGAAAAAGCTTTTCTTCACCCTTATGACTTGATTTAGAACAAAGGTAGTCTTTTCCTTTTAACTAACTTAGGAACTATAGTTCTAGGACCCGGAGGATGCTTAGAAAATCAAGTCTATTAGAAACTAAAATTTAATCCCTCTGTAAACTCTTGATTTTTCACTGTCTCTTTTTAAATTCTCTTAGTATATTACTCAGAGTACGATTTCAAACTTGATCTTAAACTACATAAAGTTAACTACTCTTGCATGATGGCTTGTCTTTTAAATAAAATAGATCTTTGCGAGTGAAACTCTTCGAACTCTGTGCCTTTGCTACAAGGAAATTGAAGAAAAGGAATTTGCAGAATGGAATAAAAAGTTTATGGCTGCTAGCGTGGCCTCAACCAACCGGGATGAGGCTCTGGATAAAGTGTACGAGGAGATTGAAAAAGACTTAATTGTAAGTTTTAGTCTTAATAATTTTTTCCGTGATATTCTAAACTGGGTTGAAAATTTTATTACATTTCATTACATTTTTTACTTCATGTTTTCAAGATTATTCTAACTTCAGCATTTGAAATTAGTACAAAAGAACTAGGTCATTTAAATTTCTGTTTTGATAAACAAAATAGAAGTTACTGTTAGAGAAACAAAAAGGAAAAAGTATTCAAAGAGGTTCTGATCCAACTCCATTATTTTAAAATTCATCAAGTTGTATATTATAACAAAGTAGCATTTATTTCATAATTAGAATTACTGGAACATTTTTTTTAAATTTTTAAAATGAGTCTATGGCCATACCACCCTGAACGTACCTGATCCTGTCTGAAATAAGATAAATGCCGCATTTTTAAGTGAAGTTTTTCAGAAGCATACTTATTGCCTGTAGAGTTTAGATTAACAGGAAATATCCAACAAATAGCTAGTGTTGCCCTTTAGTCAGAAAAACTGGGTAAAGTCCATGTAAAGTAGGTGTGGTCTTAACATCACTGATTTTGTACTTGCTTTTTATTATTATTTTTCCATCCTGGCAAATTAAGCAGTTCAGGATTTAAGGAAAAGTTTCAAGTTGTTTTGGTTTGTGTTGGAGGAACAAGAAAGCATTCTTGCCAAAGTTGGCCACTGGCCTCTGTAGATCCCAAGAAGGGAAAAGAATTATCACTTCTTTTTAGAGGTCGGCAAACTGAAGGTAAAAGAAAATTTTGAAGTTATTTTCTAATTGCTTTTTTCCCCAAATGTATATTCCAGCTATTAGGCGCTACAGCTATTGAAGACAAGCTTCAGGATGGAGTTCCAGAGACCATTTCGAAACTTGCGAAAGCTGACATTAAGATCTGGGTGCTCACTGGAGACAAAAAGGGTACTTTACTGTGTAGGGAAACATCTGTAAAGTCACGAGTACTTATACTTCCCATTTTCTTGGAGTAAGATGACTTTCCATCCCATAGAAACATTAGCCTCTTCTTTAAAAGCAAGACACTTTCTCTTCTTAAAAACCTTCCTCTTCATCCTGTCACTGTCCTTCCCTTAGCTGGCTCAGTAGCAGAATTCATTGCTTGTAATTTAGCTCCTTGTCGTGTCTTGCTGATGATGATTGGTCTTATCGCTCCAGCCAGCCGTGAGCCCATATTCTGAAAAGCGACTCTCTCTCTTCTGTCTCTCCAGAAATTTTTCATTTGTTGAATGTAGAATAATATAAAGGGCTTGAAAATCAAATTAAAATTTTATATCCTAGGAAAAATTTCAATTTATAAATTTAGAGCTCAACAAGTTATTGTTTGGCATTGATCCTTTATTCCGCAAGCCTCTCCCAAATCAGAGAATGCTCTGACCTCATCAGTGGGCTACACACTCTGCCAAGTAAAGGGAAGAACAGCCCTAACCTTTAATAAGTACCATATGGATGGTAATGGAAGAAGGGAAAAAATATCTTCGGGAGGGGCCCCATGTGAGCATCAATAGAAATGTTTTCCCTTGCCCCACCCAATTACAGAGTGATGAAACCACATAATCTGAACATGCTTGGTTTATGAACAATTAACTTATTAAATAACCAATTTATATACTTGATAATATAGCACTTTTTACTCTTCAAAGGATCTCAAACTAGACTTTGACTTTCACTTGTTACACAGAAAGGGTTTTTTTCTTTATGTGACGTCTATATATTGCTACAGAAAAATAGTACAGTTGGTCGAATCTGGTTATGTTCACAAGTTACAAGAAATCATTATATATTGAGTCCCTAATCTGAATGTCTGAGATCTAAAATGTTCAAAATCTGAAACTTTTGGAGCACTTTTGTTTTTGAGAGTCTTGCTGTGTAGTTGAGACTGGACTTAAACTCACTATGTAGCCTAGGCTGGCCTCAAATTCACAGCAATCTTCCTGCGTCAGCCTCCGGAGTGCTGGGGTTATTTATTATAGGCACAGGCCACCACGCCTGGCTCTGAGTGCCGACTTGATGCCACAAGTGGAAAATTTCTCACCTGAGCACATGTGACGGGTCAAATTTCACTAAAAATATTATATAAAACTACCTTCTGGCTTGTAAGAAGTGTATATGGCTTATATGAAGCATAAACAAATTTAGCTTTTAGATTGGGTGCTTATTCCTAAGATAGCTCATTATTTACATGCAACTACTGCAAAATTCTACAAAAGAAATGTGAAACATTTCTGGTCCCAAGCATTTCAGATCAGAGATACACAATGTGTATTAGATAAAGCTGATTACTTAATTTGACAGTAGGAATAACATTTAATTTAATTTAATCTGCTGCAGAAACTGCTGAAAACATAGGATTTGCTTGTGAACTTCTGACAGAAGATACCACTATCTGCTATGGGGAAGATATAAAGTAAGTGAAGGGCTTGCAGTGTGAATTTATGCAGACTTCATCTTTACAAAGTCAGGACAAGATGCACACGGCAGCATATACAGAAATAGGAGCTAGGATATGTCACATGGGACAGTTTGGTCATGTTTAAATTAAGCAGAGAACAGGCAGTTCCAAGTTATTGGTCTGCCTTATTTTGAGCAGATTTTATTCTCAGGGAAACTTGAGACCTCTAGTTTTCCTCCATTCTTTAGAAGTCCTTGGTTCTTGTTCATCTCCTAAAAAAGGAAGTGCACCTGTGATATCACTAGCAAATTAATTTGAATTATGTTTTGCTTTTCCTAGAGATTTTACCCTTTGGAAGAGAAATAAAAAATGGGGAGACAAAGCCCACCAACACTGCCCCGGAAAGTGTCTGAGTGGGTTACATCATGTAGTTTATCTGTAGTTCTAGTTAAGGGTGGGCAGTCCTGATATTTTTAAGCCTTAGCTTCTGCTGGAACATTTTTTTGCCCTGAATCAGAGTTGCAGCAGACCTGGAAACAGACGAGAAAAGCCCTGTCTTGTTAAGAAGCTATAAACATACTAGACACAGTTACCAAGATGTGCTTACTGACAGCCTAACAGTTCTATTTATTCCTCAAGACTTTTTCTCAAAACACCGTCAGTCTGGCACAAGATCAGTTAGCTGTTAATATACACATTTGCTGGATCTACGAAGATGATGCACAAGTGGATGTCCTTATTAGTCTTCTTTCTAATGATGATGATAAAGCATTTGTGTTTCCAGTATGTAGGCACTCTGCTAAATTAGGCAAAATCAGAAGCCTTATTATCCAAATCAGTTCTACTTAAATAGCAGCACATAAACCAGACTTCTGTGCTTTTAGGTTTTAACAAAGTAGCAACAGACAAATTAATGTTTAGTATGTTTACTTAAATAGTTTTGACTGCCAGTAATTTGGTTAATTACCATATGGTTTTGTTTATTTGTATAGATGAGGGCCTTAACTTTCTGCTCTGTGTTTTAAAAGGGTTAGAAATTGGTCACTATGCTACATTAAAAGATAAAATTTATGCAAGCAGTGAAGTTTATGATCAAGCTCTTAGCCAAGTGTCCCTTTATAGAGAGGTGAATCATCTTTCTAGACAGTTCCTGAAATGGTGACTCCTGTCAAGTGAATTCCAATAGGTAACTTCATGTTTTTTTTCTCTTTCAGCATTTATTTTTTAATCAGTTTAATTTTTTAAAAATTTGCAGCACAGGAGATTGAATCCAGACCTATGTCTCTAGTCCTTTTTATTTTCGTTTTTTAAATTTTGAGATGGCATCTTGCTAAGCTGGCCAGGTTCGCCTTGTGCTTGGCAGTTCTCCTTGCCTCAGGCTCTGGAGTAGCTGGGATTTCAGGTGTGTGCCGCCACACTCTGCCTCTTCCAGCCTTTTAATGTTCTGTCATTTTAAACTTGAAAATGAGAATTAAATTGATGTGGAAAAAGGACAGTACCAACCCGATCTTGCAGTGCAGTAGTTCTCCATCTTGCCCTCCTCAACACAGCATCTGCTAACATCTTTGGCAGTTACAGCAGGGCAGGAGGGGTGTTAGTGATTTCCAGTGGGTAAGGGCCAGGGATGCTGTTACAAATCCTATAGTAAGCAGCAACACGCAACAGATGTATTGGGGCAAAGACATCTGCAGTGGCAAGGATAAAAGATCTTCCTTGGAAGCTGAACGATAATGGCTGGGTGTATGGAACAGGGAACCCCGGGGCTGAAACTGAGGGGACAGGACTCCTTCCAATTTTCCTATTATCTTTCTGCCAGGAGGCACGTCACCTTGCTCTGGCTTGATTCTCCTATTTGTAACATGAAGAGATTGGACAAGATACCTGCCATTTCTAAATTCTATGACATTTTTCCATCACAGGAAAGTGTTACTAGCTGAGTATGGTAGTGTATGCCCCTAATTCAGCTATTTGAGAAGCTGAGGCAGGAGGGTCCTGAGTTTGAGGCCTGGGCAATTTAGCAAGACATGCACTCCACATAACGTTTTAAAAGGCCTCGGAGTATACTTCAGAGCTGCCTGGACTCACTCCCTAGTATGGAAGGAAAGGAGGCAGGGAGGGGAGAAGGAAGGAGGGAGGGAGAGAAGAAAAGAAAGAGAAGGATAAAAGAAGGAAAGATTGCATGTCAATAATTTGTTGATGTTTTCTGATCTGCTTTGTTGTGTTTTATTATGTTTAGTTTTACCCTCTTTAAAATAAAATTTAAAAAGTAAAAAAGAAAGAGGTAAATTAAAAAAGCAGTGAGTGCCTCTTATAAAAAAATAATAATTTGTTGCTATAAGGCACCGAAAATTTTCAAAAATGAACATAATTTTGTAACCAAGATATTACAATTCAGATAGACTGCCTTCCTTTAGCTGCTTATGAACATGCTGCCAACTGTATCTTCCTTTGGCAAATAGTGAAGCACTAAGAACACAGTGTCCCATGGTGGAAGAATCAAAACTTAGTAAGATTATGTCATCCAATTAAAAATAAAGAATATACAGTAGACACCTCTCCAAAGAGGATGCACAAATGGCTGATAACAACATGAGACAAGGCTGAACACCACTAGTCATTGGTGAAATGCAAATCAAGACCACCATGAGAGATCAGCTCTAGGAGTAGGGGGTAGGAGGGAAGAGGAATGGGGAATGGGGAGAAGCAGGAAAAAGAAATAAAGGGAAGGAGGACAGAAAGGGAAAAGAAATACAAAATAACAAGTGTCAGGGAGGCTGCAGAGAAAGTGGACTCATTGGCTCTCTTGTAGAAATGGAGCTGCAGACCTTTCCACCCATTATGGCAAGCAGTGGAGGTTCCTGGAAAAAAAAAAAGGCAGTTGCCATGTGATCCAGCAATCTTACTTCTTGACACAGTCTCCAAAAAGTTGAAAGCCAGACCTTGAAGAGATACATGCATGGTGATGTTTATAACTGTACTTTAATAGCCAATAAATTGAAGAAACTCAAGTGTTCATCCATGTATGAACAAATAAACAAAAAGTGGTGTATCTGTACAGTAGAATATTATTTGCCCTCAAAAGGAAAATAAATTATGATAGGTTACAATATAGATGGATCTGAAGGATAGTAAATGAAATAAGTCACAAAAGACGAATCCTATCTGATTCCATGTACATATAAGCTATCAGGCATTGTCAACATCGTAGAAGGGCCCAGTAGGGTACCAGGGATTTGGAGGAGAAGGAAACAAGATGTTATTTAATGAGCACAGTATACAGTTTTGAGTTTTACAACATGGAAAACTTTGGGAGATTATCTGCACAACAGTGTGAATATACTCAACACCATGGACTGTAAACTTAAAAATGGGTAAGGTAAATTATGTGTTCAGTATAATTTTTTTAAAATATACACAGAAAACTGTGGTCCAGGGCTTTTTATGGTTTTATATTTTAATTATTTAAATTTATTTTCTACAGTTCTCTTCTTCACACTCGGATGGAAAACCAGAGAAATAGAGGTGGAGTCTATGCAAAATTTGCACCTGTTGTGCATGAACCTTTTTTCCCACCTGGTGAAAACCGTGCCTTGATAATCACTGGCTCATGGCTGGTATGTACGATGGGTGTGCCTGCATCTTTGTCTAAATAAGGCCAGTTCATTTGGACCCACTGTTGATGGTTTGTGTATTTACTAACTTCCAATTTAAAAATCCATGTTTGACTTTCCAAATGGGAGACTTAATATTACGGGACATATGAAAAGAATTACCCCAAATTAATCAAACCAGTTAACTTAGTTTATCAATTAATGGGTAATGTTTATTTTCTTCTTTGCAGATTTTTGTGTTTTTGAAATTTCTGTCATAAATTATCATTAGAACAGTATAATCTATGATATAACCCACAATCTAGCCTTCACATAACTGAAGTCTTGAAAATTGTACTCTTGGCGTAAAACCTAAAGTGTAAACCTTTCTATCTGTGATTTTACAGAATGAAATTCTTCTAGAGAAAAAGGCCAAGAAAAGTAATATTCTGAAGCTGAAGTTCCCCAGGACAGAGGAAGAGAGACGAATGCGGACTCAAAGCAAGAGGAGGCTCGAGGCCAAGAAAGAGCAGCAGCAGAAGAACTTCGTGGACCTGGCCTGCGAGTGCAGCGCTGTCATCTGCTGCAGAGTGACCCCCAAGCAGAAGGCCATGGTAGTGGACCTGGTGAAGAGGTACAAGAAGGCCATCACCCTGGCCATTGGAGATGGAGCCAATGACGTGAACATGATCAAAAGTGAGTTGCACACAGGTGGTCCTGAGACCCAGCCTGTTAGAGGAAAAACAGCAGGAACATGGTGAGGTTTGTCTTCAAAGTTCACTGTAGCAGTTTTCATAAAGCAGACACTTAACGAAGGCATCTGACAGTGCTCTGTCAGTGACCCTCTCCCAGGAAGCCTCCAGTGTGTGCGAGGGACTGACTGCAGTACTCAAAGAATGCAAGTACAAGAGGCGGTCCCTTGGGTGGCATTATCATTATTACCTTCTTCCTATGTTCAGTGCGTTCCCCCTCTCTTGATGATGAGTTCTTTCATTTTGTTAGGGCTTCTTAAAAACTGTGATACTTAGTTTTGAAAAAATTTTGTTGGGGTGAGCGTACTTGTTGAACTCTTTCTGCTTAAACTTTTTTTCGGGTCAAACTCATGACCTCACACTTGCCAGGCAGGCGCTTATGCCACTGAGCTATTTCTCTGGTCCTGTTGAACTCTTTCTGGTATTTGTTTTGAAAATATTATTTTCCCTCACCTAAGCATCTCTCTCTGGGGGTTTTTCCTGCCTTTGACAAACCTGATGAACATCAGTGAGGTACCTGTTGTAAGTTTGGAGTACCGTGTTTAGTAATGTGGTAAAACTCCAGTGTGTCCTCCTGAGTTGCCTCAAAGGCCATCAAGAGTCATTTTGCTGTTTGAGTTCTAACATACAGAGAGACACCACTGCACAGGCATTAAATCATGCAGAACACTCCTGGGGCCTTGTCTACTTGTGAGCCCTGGTCCTTTTTTCTCCCTATATTACTGTAAGTACAGATTGAGTATCCCTCAACCTGTCCAGGACTTTCAGATTTTACAGCCTGTCAGTTTTAGAACATTTCCATAAATTTTTTCAGTGCTGCTCAAAATTTTGAGATTTCAGAGTACGCTGAATTTTTTGAATTAGGGATACTCCACTTAAGTAATATAAATACCCAACCTACTAAGACAGGAATACTCAAGTTTCTTCTTATTGCTAACAACCTCTGTTAGCTTGGGCATATGCTCAGGCCTGTGTCCTTATTTGAAAACAAATATTTTCTCCAGTGTTATTTTCAGCTCTGTAACATCATTCTTGTTACTTCAAAGGTGAATTATTACATGATTACACCTATATATGCATTCCTGTTGTGCTGGGTAGCTTAAATGCATTTTATATAACTGCATTTTAATTGGGCTTATTTTGTGACTCACAAGTCCATTTCTTTCTTTTCTTAGAGTCTCTTCCTCCTCCTTGATATATATTAAGAATATTCCAACTTTATCTTCCTCGACAGGAGTCATCTATATGACGTATGTCTTCTTGCCTTTTATCAATGCATATATCTGTTGCCACTGCCAGTTTAATTCCTCTCCACTGTTTTTTGCATGTGCTTGTCTTACCACACTAATGGCTTTTTTTGCTCTCCATCAGATCTCTCTTTTCTCTGTAGCCAGCTCTAATTTATTTTCCATTATGTGCCCTTAACATAACTAACTGTGCCAAAAGGTAACCCAAACATTATTTTTATTCAGTTATAACACAGACTTCTAGATGTTGGGGAAGGAAACAGGTAGGGGTTGGTTTGCCTTGCAGATTTACTATTTTATTGTATGACAGACTTTCTTTTCGTTTCTGAACATTTGATAGTAATACAGTAAAACACAGTTGATATATACAAGCCTTACAAAGACTTGTTCTTTTTTTAAAAATTATTATTAAGCCCTATTAAATGCCAGGCATTTTTACATATAACTTATGGAGCACCACTTGGGATGAAAATATAGGAATCTAAGGTCCCCTTAGCAGTTATCCAGGTACAGGGATCACAGGTATATACCATCATACCTGGATTCTTTTTATTTTGCTCCCATTTCTTTCAGCTGCATCAAAAACAATATACAGAAAGAAACTGTTTGCTAGTCACAAAGAAGTACAGGGAGTCCCCAATTTAAGAACAAGTTCTCTTCCTCTAAGTCAGATAAAATGAGTGTTGGACACCTTTGACTCAAATACACAATGTGGAGCATAAAAAACCCAAATTCAAGGTCTATTCATATCTGTAGAAGTTTGTAACTTGAATGTTTGTAAACTGGGAACTACTCTCGAGTGAAATTCAGATGTTAATAGCAATCTAATTATCAACTACTAGAAATGAGGAACTTGTGACCATGTGTTTGTCCCTAGCAAGGGTCCATGGACCCTTAGAGGCTGCATTCTGCCTGTGACGTGCCTGAATATATTTTATACCAGTTGGTTGCCTTGCGAAAATAATTAGTTTGTTAAGCGATTCTGAAGCCGTGCCTACCAATGAGGCGTTTCACCCCACATTTGGAACTTCAGAAAAATGTACAGTCCTGTTGTAGTCAGGGGTTGTGCACAGAACAATAAGAATCAGGACATGGAGTTTATAATATTATTTAATAATGGTCACCCAGAGTTAACACAAGTAACTGCAGGAAATCTATCCGCAACACCAAATACATAGACTATTTAGTCAAGGGCCTAATCCCACAGCAATGTCCCACATGAGTCCAGATGAAAACCCAGAGCTCATAACAATGCCTCCCACAAGTCCAACTGGATGTCCAAAGCCCATAAGAAGGAGTCATGCCCGTCTCTTTTTATGGATCTGTACCGGGAAGGCCCAAAGATCAGCGGTGGAAGCCAGAAAGTCCATGCCAGCGGGGTGAAGGAGCTGTGCTGGTGGGATGAGAGTTCTACACTGGAGCCAAAAAGCCACACTCACAATAAAGGCCAGGGCTGTCCTAAAAAGCACCATAGCCATCCTTAGCGACACGGAGGCCCCAAGCTCCTCTGACAATAAGCACAGTCGAGTACGTGCCAGGAAGCAGCGTGATGAATTCATCCTGGAGACCAAGCAGCACATGTCTTCCCCTCCAGAGCCAGGAAGCAATGCTTGATGTGATGGCCAGAGCTTCTCCAGGAGAACCAAGGGCTCAAACACCAACACATAGGAGAACCCACAATGCCTCAATGCCTCAACGCAACAGCTTCTCCTTCTCCACTTCTCTATTTATGCTGGCAACTTTCCTCAGGTGGAACATCTACACTCAGCACCACGCTGATGTAATCCAGCTGGCGTTAAATTGACCACCAGTTCTTAATCCATAACAAGGCCTATAATTCGATTTTAGGGGGAAAATAACCCCACCACGAAACAGTGCTGTATTATAATTTGCATGGCCACCTCCAGTTAGGCTGGGAACCCTGTGCATGTCTACTTCCAATGTTACCCGTCTGCTCAGTGAACAGGTTGAAGAACTGATACCAGCATCTAGGCCAGGGGTTCCTTTCCCGCTGCCTCAAAGGCCAAGAGAGATTCTCAACATTTCTCTCCCTGGCTTATTCAGGAAGGGAAAGATGGCCACAGCTTGGTAGGAAAAACAGTCTGGCAACACAAATGGTCAAATGTTTGTGTGTTTTGAAAAAACTCCCAAATACTGAATGAAAAGCAATTACTTCTAATTTTTAGAACTGCAAAAGGTAACTGAAAACATAGGTTTTAGAATTATATTTTGAATTTTCTAGACCTTGGGTTCTTCAACTGGGGCAAGATTTTTGAAACTTCTAATTAGAACCATGTTGGCTGTCACTTCTCAAGTGTTTGTGCTCTAATAGTTTGTGTTCTCCAACACATTTTCTCTTCTTACTGTCAGTCTTTACCTTCATAACTTTTAATACTTAGATAAAATTTGGGGCTGGGGATTTAGCTCAGCAGCATAAGCACCTGTCTGGCAAGTGCAAGGTCATGAGTTCAATGTCTGATACAAAAAAAAAAAAAAAAAAACTTAGATAAAATTTACAATTCTCTAATTTGAAAATGTTATTTAATAACTATTGGAAGGATGAGTAAAATTATGACTTTAATCTTTATCCATTCTGGAAACTACACACACACACACAAATATGAGTTAAGGTGATAGTGGGCCATGAATAAATACAACTTTGAAAGTTAAAGAGGGTCTTAGACAGAACTCTTTTGATTTCAAGCATAGGCAGATAAAGTAAGCTTAAGAAAACATGAATTCTTTTATAAAAAAGATGTCTCACACTTCTCATCCAAGAAGCCAAGCCTCTGCAAGATGTTGGAACCAGCACCTCCAGTTTTACTGGGAACCCAGCATCTAGCAGTTGTGTCTGTTTCCCTCACTAACCCAATACTTTCTCAAACCCTGCAGCCCCTCAGAAACTACTTTTTTTTTTCATGCCAACAATCAAACTCATGACCTTGTGCTTGCCAGGCAGGCACTGTGCCACTGAGCTATATCCCAGGCAGACCCTTCAGAAAAAAAAATACATCCATTCCACATTTCAGGAATTTACGTGTTAAAATTTCAGATATAAACACATCTGAACACTAATGAAGACCAAGAGACAGACTGGTTGGCTCTGCTTGGGTTTCCTATCAATTAAGGTTCAGTGCAGGAAACAGAGTTATATAGGCACTTCTAGCAAAAACTGGTTAATATGTGGGGCTAGGTGCTTTGAAAAGCTTTTGATGGACTCAGCTGGTTCTAGGCTGAGTCTCTAACCTCTGGGTCATTCACCAAAGCTTCTGCCTTTGAGGCTCCTGTGAAGAGCTGCTCAATTCAAGAAGCCTTTGCAGTTGCCTAGCAACATCTGGGAAGCTGGAGAGTCGATGTTAGCTCTGCTGTAGAAATATAAAAAAGGGAAAGGATGCCGGGCTCCCATTCATTTCTGCTTTCAACTTACAAGTAGGTCTAAACAGTGAACTTCATTCATAACAAGAGACTAGCTGCAAGGTAATCTGAGAACCTCTCCAATTAGAACTGGGGTGGAACAAAGGTTTAGAGAGCTTTTTATAGTTTGTACCACAGACTATGCATTTGCCCATGGTTGACTCGGCTGTGGTCAACAAGCCAGGGATGCATAGAGAACACATGGATGCCTGGGGCTTACCCTGTAGCTGAGAGGCAAGGCATACAAACTGAGTAGATAACCCACGTGAAATTCACCACCCACCTGAGGTAGTTTCACAAATATTTATGGAGGCTTTGTTTAGCATCTTGTACCTCTAACTCTTGATTTGGGCTCAGGAGTTGGGAAAGACAGATGATGAGCAAGAGCTTTTATATGTATTGTTCTGTGAATGTGTATGTCTTTGTTTTTTGTTTTGCTATAGAAACATTTTTTGTCATCTGATGCTTTGCCTTAAAATCCACGTATGATCTACAGTGTCTTCTCCTTCTGCCTCATAGCTGCCCACATTGGGGTTGGAATAAGTGGACAAGAAGGAATGCAAGCTGTCATGTCCAGTGACTACTCCTTTGCCCAGTTTAGATACCTGCAGAGGCTACTGCTGGTGCATGGCCGGTGGTCTTACATAAGGATGTGCAAGTTCCTGCGATACTTCTTTTATAAAAACTTTGCCTTCACTTTGGTTCACTTCTGGTACTCCTTCTTCAATGGCTACTCGGCACAGGTAATACAATATTATTTTTAAAATTATTTTTTATCGAGTATGTCCCATCTCTTAAATTAATAAAATCCTAGTTCTGAAGGAACAAATTTGGGTTTTTTTCCCTCTCTAGTTGTAGTTTTGGTTATATATCTAGTTGAGGACATAAAGTATGGCTTTTGTGGAACGTTTCTGGTACTTTAAGAAAATTTTTTATTTACCTTTGGGGTTATTTATGTTTTTCTGTTTGTCTTAGGTTATTTCATTGGTAAAAAAGATGAATCAAAGCTAAAACCTAGAGCTGTCAAATCTCTGATGCTCTGTCATCATGTCTTAGGTTCAAAGGAGCCTCAAGGTTGAAGGCTCACAGTGACTCAGAGCAGGCCTGGGGACATTCTCCTGACTCCAGGGTGCAGGTCCACTTCCTCTATCCCTCCCTCAGGAATGATGGGTGCTTAATACTGCTTATCAAAAGCATTTTTTTTTTAATGTTCAGCCCGATTCTGTTTTATAAAAATGTTTTCATGGAAATGCTCACCTTATAAAAGTAACCAAAAATTCTGAACAGTATTTACATGCCTCTAAACAAGTTTTATTAAGTATTCTAGTCCATTAATAAAAGGGGTGAAAACAATGAACATTCATTTTCTAGCATTATCCAATCAGAATAGAGTCATTTACCAAAATCTTGGAGCATGTACCCACACTTAGGAGGATGGGGTTGGGGTGGGACTTGCTTCTATGGAAAAGTCTCAGAGTCTGCCCCTGGATAGAAGAAACAAATGCTTGTCTCCCACAGGTATAAATAAAGGGCATTTATTTAGGTGGGCAGAAATCCCCACTGAGTTGGGGACATTTCTGTTCAGAGAAAGCAACTGGCCAATTGTCTTTCTACATGACCTGGAACCTCTATCATTCTTTGCAGACAGCATACGAGGACTGGTTCATCACCCTGTACAATGTGGTATACTCCAGTCTACCCGTGCTCCTCATGGGGCTGCTTGATCAGGTAGGAGCTGGATGTGGGGACTGGGGAAGGTATTTATTCCCTGAACAGACTGATGCCTGCTACAGAGGTCACAGCTGAGATTCCAGTGCATTTTCTAGGTTTTATTTTATCCTGATGAAATTCTAGTACAATTTGGTTGTCTGGCAACAACTGTATGCATCTTATTTTGTAATAAGAAAAGAGGACTTCTAGTGGGCGAGGTGGTGCATACCTGTAATCCCAGCACTCAGGAGACTGAGGCAAGAGGATGGTAGCGAGTCTGAGGTCAGCCTGAGCCTCAGGGAGTTCAAGGCCAGCCTGAACAGCATAGTGAAACCCTGTGCCAAAAGGAAAAGAAAAAAAAAGATTTCTGTGATGCTGTTGAATTCACTGATTAGAATGTTCATAATATTCCTTTCAAACACTAAGACCTGACTGTTTAGATGCCCAAAAGTCTAATATGCCTGTATGCATTTTATTGACTTTAAAAGTAAATTTTAACACTTTCCAAAATTTATGTTTAATTCTCAAATTAGTCTACATTTAATAGCAATTCTCAGAGAAAGTGCTTTGATAAGCAAAACAGGATAATTAAGAATTAATTTATCAACATGTATTTGAATGTATTTGTCCAAAGACTCTGATGTAATATATATTTTCTCAAAAAGTAAAAAAAATTTAAAAATAGCCTCCTTATTTTTTGACATTATTTTCTTTCCCTGATAATGCTGGACTAAAACTATGATACCGATCTCTGCACCCAGAAATATGACAGGATTTACCAACTCATTCAGTACCTGCCTCCAAAACCTTAAAAAACTCGCTGGAAATCTCTCTGCCATCTACCTTTGATCTACTGGACAACACATGACTCTAATTTCCTTTTCCCCTTTAGGATGTGAGTGACAAACTAAGCCTCCGATTCCCTAGGTTGTATGTAGTGGGACAAAGAGACTTATTATTCAACTATAAGAGATTCTTCGTCAGCTTGCTGCATGGAATCTTGACATCGATGGTCCTCTTCTTCATCCCTTTTGGGGCTTATCTGCAAACTGTGGGGCAGGATGGAGAGGCACCTTCAGACTACCAATCTTTTGCTGTCACAGTTGCCTCAGCGCTGGTAATAACAGTCAATTTCCAGGTATGTGGCTTCCTGACTGCACTTGGTGCCTGTTGGTACCTGCGTATCTGTACACAGGCCCGTGTGTATACAGCCTGTTCTCCGTCCACCCGAGCCTTGGCCTCTATACAGAATGAGTGCTACTTTCATCCTTCATCACGAACACATTTTTTTCTTGCCTAAGTCACGGATGGTCTGATTTCTGATTGTTTAAGATTCTAACCAAATCATGTTTAAATTGTCAAATTCTGCTTTCGGAGTTCTTGTATCTTTTCTTTCTTGCTCCCTAAAATGAAAGCACCATTTTTCTCTGATTTCCCAACAGATTGGTTTGGATACATCTTATTGGACTTTTGTGAATGCTTTTTCAATTTTTGGAAGCATTGCACTTTATTTTGGCATCATGTTTGACTTTCACAGTGCTGGAATCCATGTTCTCTTTCCATCTGCATTTCAATTTACAGGTTGGTGTTTTCTAAATTCCAAAAATAAATGTACAGACAAATGTACATTTAGACTCTGATATAAGTTCTGTATAAATTTAAAAATTCATAAGAGGTATATTATTTCTAGTAAAAAGTAGTGTCTTGACTGGGAACTGAATGATAATGGTGGGCTGGAAAGGTGCTAAGTTAAAATAATGTTAAGATACAACTGTGTACTTGTTTAATGACTGAAAGATTAGATAAAAGCTTTTTTTCTGACATAAAACCAAATATTGGTAGATTATTGGTAAATTAAGTATACATGCGTTGTTGGTATTACTATAATATAATCTTCCCAAAACGGTACCTAAAAAGCAGATAGTAGACCATCAAACTTTCCATACATTTACACCAATTATTTCTACTTGAAGAAAATACCCTAAAATAAAACAGCACATTTTAACAAAGTGACTTATACCACAATTGTACTTCCATGTTTCTAATTATGAAAAAAAGGAAGGAAGTGGGACGAGCCCAAAACCCTAAGAATATTAAAGTAGCTCATCAAATTATGTGATGCCAGTATGATGGAATGCCAGCTGAAAAGCTGGCTACATCATTGAAGATACATATATAGAACAACAGTAGAAAATAAAAGTTATGTGGCCAATGATTACAACTGTATATAAATAAAATGACAAGTGCTAGAGTGAATTATAAATTATATAAATTTCATAAGTTTCATAAATATTAAATATGAATAAATATCAAACTAGAACTTATAAGATTCTTAATTTAAATAGAGAGCTTAGGTGAATTCACTATGAAAAAGATCCCCATAAACTTATTTCCCTGTAAAATATTGAGTTTTGTGGGCAGTTGTTGGGTTCTGAGACAGTTGTTGTGATAAGCTTTTCTTATGATGGGGCTTATTTTTTTCATGATATATTTTTCCTTATTAAATCTATTTTAAAAATTTAGGACCTGGGAACTTAGAATATTCCCATAGGAAACAGTTTTAAGTCTAATGCATTCAGTAGTGTAAAAAAATGTTTAAAAACTAAAAATCATTATTTGCATGAATTTAAGAGTGTAAATACAGAAAACATTTTGATAAACTTGACTCTAGATATTTGACAGTTGAATAGTAGATACCAACCAATTACCAATCTTATGATTATTACTTCCTTTGACATATACTCCACCCCCAAGCTATAACCCAGAACTCTTAATTTTACACTATAAATGCATCACAAGCAAAGTCACCTTCTTGTTTCTTTATTTGTTCATTTATATACATTTGCCGTGTGACAAAGAACTGACCTTCCCTAGTTAGCTTTGTGTGGTTTGATTGACTGGTTGATATGGTACCGGGGATTGAACTCAGGGCCTGCTGTGTGGTAGGCAACCATTCTACCACTGAGCCACATCCAGAGCCTGTTTAATTGGCTTTAATGCCTTGATAGGGATGGGCTACTTTGGGGAGGCTAATCTGGCTATAGGACTTTTCCATAGATAATCCATTTGCAGGTTAGGACATATGAACTTCATACTTCGGAAGAAACAACCATTGGATTTTTTCTCCTGTTCCTTCCAGGCACAGCTTCCAATGCCCTGAGGCAGCCCTATATTTGGCTGACTATCATCTTGACTGTGGCAGTGTGTTTATTGCCTGTTGTTGCCATCCGTTTCTTGTCAATGACGATTTGGCCATCAGAAAGTGATAAGGTACACAGAAATAGTCCTCTAACCCTGCATGTCCGTCACAGGACTCAAAACACTTCCCAAAAGCACCTTTCTTGCAGACTTGTAAACTCATGGGTAGCTTGATTAGAAGGCTTTTTATGAATGCTTCTCTTTCTCTGTAACTCCATCTTGCAAATAAGCCAAAGGGTGGGATTTCTGTTTGCTTGCTTTTGAATATAAAATACCCAAATGCAAACAAAAAGAGTAGGACAATGAAGCCCCATATATTTCTTCCTTCAGTTTAACAATATCCTTTAATATTTTGCCATATTTAAAGCAGAATGTCCCCCCTTGGAGCACGATCCTTTGAATTGCAACTGACAGAAAGTTGTGACTCAAAATGTCTCAACAATAATGTATCATTTCCACTTGGTTAACAATGATCAGGCTTGGAGTTCAGCTGATGGAGCAGATTAATGTTCCCAAAAAAGGAGCTGGGTCCTTTCCATCTCTCTCTGAAGCTGACTTGAATGTTAGCCTCATCTCCCACGGGAAGGTGGCTACAGCAGCTCTTTGCATCACACCCAACCTGTCAAGATCCAGGGAAGAAGAGGCTGACTGTTATGTAGTTTTCACTCTGGAACCGGAACACATTTTACCCATGAGCCATAGCACACTTCCCTGGGGACTTGCCAAAAGTAGGTCACAAGCCAGTCCTCGGATTGATACCTAATGAGGGCAATTAGCCAGCCCCAGGACTTGAGGAATGTGGGGATACCTGCACTAAATCGGCTTCCTTAGAAAGGAGCCTTCAGTAACTCTGCCTGGCCCTCCAGCAGGGGTGAGTTTGCAGCAGCAGAGGAGAAACCAGGTGTAGTTTTCTCTGCCACCTGCAGCAGTCCGAACACGCACACACATACCTGCATCAGGGTGGGGTGCGGGACACGCGGGCCGGGCACCCCGCGATCGCGGACCTCCACTCACTGCCTCCCACGTCTCCCGCCTCTGCAGATCCAGAAACAACGCAAGCGGCTGACGGCCGAGCAGCAGTGGCAGCGGCGGCCGACCGCCTTCCGCCGGGGGGCGTCCTCGCGACGCTCGGCCTACGCCTTCTCGCACCAGCGGGGCTACGCCGACCTCATCTCGTCGGGGCGCAGCATCCGGCGGAAGCGCGCGCCCCTGGACGCCATCATCGCGGACGAGGGCATCGCGACCCCGGGCACCGCCGAGTACAGGCGCAAGGCGGACAGCTGAGGGTCGCCCCGCCGGCAGCGCGCTCACAGCGGCTGCTTTTGTATGGAAGACTCTCAGGACTTTTTTTTTTAAACTGAATGTGTCACAAAGATACTGAAGGCAATAATTTTTATAACAAACTACTTGGGTTGCGCTATTATGTAGTTGCAAAGCCAAGAAAATCTATTATTATGTTGGTTATGGTCGTCATGATTCAAAGGGAATGTTTTAATCCAGATTCAATCTAGGAAATGTCTTATATTTCAGTTCGAATGACCCTGCATTATAAAATGACAACTGAATTTTCCTGTCTGTGATCTTCAGCATGGATTTCCCAGGAATTTTCTTCATTAGTCACTTTACTAGCAAAGTAAGTGTGTGTGTGTGTGTGTGTGTGTGTGTGTGTGTGTGTGTGTGTGTGTGTGTGGTGTGTGACTGGGGAGTGAACCTAGAGCCTTGTACATGCCAGGAATGAGATTTACCACCGAACTACCTGCCAGCCCTAACAAACATATAAATGGTTTTTACAACACAGTTTTCAAAAACAGGCTATTGTCAGTGGTTCCTAAGTTACAATTAGGAGAAATAAATTCTGTTGTTGCACAATAGGATGTCTATAGATAATAATGAGCTATGTATTTCACAAAAGCTAAAGGAAAAAAACAATCTTTTCATCACACACAAAAAGATAAATGTTTGAAGACACAGGAAAACTATGATTTGTACACAGTACAATTTATACACTTACTGAAGTGTTACACATGGTAGGCTGGGGGTGTACAGAACCATGCAGAAGACTGTGGGCTCAATCCCCAGCACCTCTGTTTTAATAAAAAGAACCATAAGATGGTATATCATAAATATGTATAATTATTATGTATAAATTACTAATTTTATTTTTAAGGAAGAATCCCTACCAAAAAACTTGTGGTTCCCTTTGGAGGAAGACGCTATTGTAACCAGGTGCAGTGGTACACACCTGTAATCCTAATGCCTACCACTCAGGAGACTATGGAAGGATGATCGCCATGAGTTTGAAGCTGCCTGGACTACATAGTGAGTTCAGGATCAGCCGGAACTACATGGGGAGACTCAGTCTCAAAAACAAGGAAAGGAAGAAGGGAGGGAAGAACGGAAGGCAGGCAGGCAGGCATGTTTTAGATTCTTCAACCCACTGGCCAAATAGCAGGGGTGTCATCAGGGTGACTGGTCTTACTTATCCAGCAAGCAAAAGGTTACTGCTATATAGAGGAATAGATCCAAAACCCAGGGGATCTTTTGGGAGCTATCCCTAGAGCTACCTGGCATAAAAACGGAAGACCTAGTATGTAGTGAAGGAAATAAGCATAAACATACAAATAAAACCTGAGGATATCAGTAATAAATTCCAGAACATTTCACAGAGCTGTATTTTGAAAATCAAACGAATATGCTTGCTTACATGCAAAATCCTTTACAAGGCCCCTGAACAGAAACTACACTGTTTGTCACCTGACTTGTTTCTTGAGAGAAAAGGCCTTTGGCAATAGTTCTGTCTTTCAAACTTTAGGATAACTTTAAGTGGTTATGGAGAATATCCTCCTGCATAAGATAAGTTATTTTTTTCCATGTTATGCCTTTTACTCACTACGAAGTCCCTTTGAAGTCCTGTGAAGAAATCACAAGTGTACATTTCTATATGCATAGGACAGAAAAATTTAATTGTTAATTTTATAGTGCATTTTCTAGGTGTGATAAAAGAATTCATGGTTATTCTATGAAAATAAATTTCTGAAAGTTTACAACTTTATATTGTAAATAAAAAGAATTGTTTGTGTCTTTCTCTTTATTTTTTACAGAAAAGTTAGCTTATGTAATTTTTTCAGTTACAGATTTCTGTTTTTTGAATTGTGGGAAAAGCTGACAATGCAAATGTGTCAAAGACTTATACTGTTGGGTGCAATATTAATTTTAAAATACAAATTGCTTTGGATAAATTATTTCTATATGCTGTAAATCTGAGATTGAATGTATATTTTTGTTTAAAAAATAAATGTTTTAGTAAAAGCTTTGGAAAGTATAATCTTAAAATACTTTTAAAGTTGGATTTTTCTACTTTTGTCTCTAAGAGTGAGGTATATGATAGAAGGCCTAGTCCTACAAGGTTTCTCAGGGAACTCTGGAGGCATGAAATAAATTTAGGAGCAAGGTAAATGTTGGGGGGGAAATGTGACTGAAAAAGGTAATTAGGATTTAGAAGTAGATGATTGGATTTATAGACAGTCCAATCAAGTCTTTTCCAGGGACAATGCATTTGTGTGTGTATGTGTGTGTTTGGCAGTACTGGGGTGAAACACAAGGCCTTGTGCATACTAAACAAGGACATTACTACTCTGCTGTACCCCAAGCCATGCATCTTAGTATATTTAGACAAGAGGCAATTCTTCCAAATGACCTCAACTCTTTGGAACCAGAAAAGAGGAAAGAAGAAGTGAGAAGATAGTCTAGAAATACATGATGAATGGTTGGCAGAAAAAGAGGCAAAAATTAGAAAGTCAAGGAGGAGGTGAGCAAGTAAGAGGGGGGAGCCCTGAATTTGAGGCTGGGGGAGTAATACGTGGAATGGCCCAGTTTCAGGACAGGTTCTTAGCTCCTGGAGACAACGGAAGCCATGATCCCACCAGCAAAGTGTGACTGTGCCACAGAGAAGGAGGTTTTCTGTGTGAGAGAGCTGGGACTTCTTTGAGGAGAGTAACTAGCAGTGGTGACAAGGTTATAGTATCAGTGTAGGGGGAAGCAGGAGTAGGTTCTTAGCATCTACAATAGCCATGCTATGGAAAGGACTTTAGGTATGCCAGGGTGATCATCCTTAAAAAAAAACACATAAAGGCCACTTCTCCCTGAAACAGAGTACTGCACTGAAGTTGTATGAGAGATTTTTAACCAGAGAGCACCACCTAAAGGTTCTTAGTCATGTTCTCTACTAGGAACTGCTCACCAATGACATCTAATGGAGATGAAATGATTAGTAAGGCATGTCAGAGTGATAGCAAAATGTACCCTACTGGAGTCTAAATATATTTTTACAGTTGTTGCCTTCACACGGTGTGAAAAAAGCTTAGGGAAACTGCCAGATGGCCTCCAGAAGTCCAATCACAATTTGCTAGGAAGTTGTTGTGGCTGTGATAGAATCTGATCATTTATAAAAACAAAAAGTCCTGTCAAGACATTGAAGTAAATCTCAGGAAGGAGTAGAAGTTTGAGGGCTTACAAAGAAGTGTGATAACAATGATTTTCTATGGGTAGATATTTCTCCAAAGAAGATTTATAAATGGCTAATAAGCATATGAAAAGTTCAGCAACATTTATCATTAGAGAAATGCAAACCAAAGCCATGGCGGGATACCACTGCAGTCACTAAGATGGCAATAGAAATAATTCAATATAAGGGGAGAAACTGGGACTTTGATACATTGCTGGTAAGAATGGAACCATGGAACAGCTACTTCACACAGTTTGGCAGGTCTTCAACAAGTTAAACAAATTACCATTAACCAAGAAATTCCCTTCTGAGATATATACCCAAAAGAACTAAAAACAAATGTTCAAACAAATACTGATGAACTAAGAGTCGCTGCAGTATTATTGATAGTAGACTAAAGGACCTAAATGTCTATCAACAGATGGATATGGCAGACAGGCAATGGAATACTACTTGGCTAAAAAGGAGATATGAAGACTGATACATGCTCCAAATTGGATGATGCTTGAGAAAATAATAAAAGCAGCCAAAATTAAAAGATTATGTATTTTAAAACTCAATGTATGTGCCCAGAATAGGTAAATCCATAGAGATGAAAAGCAAATTTATGGTGGCCAGGGAATGGAAGATGGGGAGTATGTGTTGTGTTTAATGAATGTATTATGGTTCTCCTGAGAAACAACAAACAAATGTGTGCCTATATATATCTACATAGAGTATATATATATATATATATATATATATATATATATATCTGTCTGTGGGGGAAAACTGGCACACTTTAAGAAGTTAGCTCGGGGGCTGGGGATTTAGCTCAGCGGCATAAGCACCTGCCTTGCAAGCAGGTGGTCGTGAGTTTGATCCCTGGTACTGATTAAAAAAAAAAAAAAGAAGTTAGCTCATATGATTGTGGAGGTTTGGAAATGTTCAGGGCCAAAAAATTGAAATTGTGGCAAGAGTCTGATGTTAGTCTTGAACCTGAAAGCTAGAAACTGACCAGAATCCCTTCCTCCTTGAAAAACTTTACTTCATAGCTACAAACGAAAGAAGAGACACATGTCCCATATACCCAATGACCTAAAATCTCCCACAATGTCCCTCTCTTAATAGTTTCGGCCACCTTCTGAAATTCACCTTCCGAATAGCACCACACTGAGGACCAAGCGTTTGACAGAGGCCTTCTGGGGACTTTCTAGAGCCAAATTATGGCAGTAACATTCGTGGTTATACAGACATTTCAAAGAACAGAAGAGAAAAATCTAGAAATCGATTCAAACGCATGAAAATTCACCACATATAAAGGTAGCATCAAGAATTGCTGTGGGGAACAGGGATATTTGGTATTAGAACAGAAAACAAAATAGATACCTTAGCATAGTGGAATAAATTCCAAAGAAATAAATGATGTAAATGTATGACAAAAAGAAAAATAGAAAAATACCAGAAGGAAAACAAACAAAAAATCCAAATATATAAGGAATAAGGAAAGACCTTTTCAGGCCCAGGGATTTAGCTCAGTGGCATAAGTGCCTGCTTTGCAAGCACACAGTTGTAAGTTCAATCCCTGGTACCAACAAAAAAAAAAAAAAAAGGAAAGACCTTTTAACTAAGACAAATAATCCAAAGCCTCAAAAAGGCTAATAAATTCAAAATAGATAAATATAAAAACCTCTGCACAGACAAAAAGGATAAACAGAGCTGGGGATTTAGCTCAGTGGCATAAGCACCCACCTCGCAAGCAGGCAGTCGTGAGTTCGATCCCCGGTACCGATAAAAATGAAAAAGACCAAAAAAAAAAGTATAAACAAAAGCAAATAACAACGTAAAACAAAAGCTTCTAATTCATATCAAAGGGCTAATATCTACAACATAATTACTTCATTGGAACTGAAATATTCCAAAAATCTACCCCCTAAAATGGACAAATGCCTCAGTTCTGGCTGACTATAACAAAATCCTATAAACTAGGTAAATCCTAAACAACAGAAATTTACTTTTCACAGTTCTGGAGAGAAGTCTCACATCGAGCCACAGGAAGGCTTCCTTTATAGAAGGTAACCTCTAGCTCTGTCCTCACAGGGTGGAAAGCCCAACAACTTCCCCTGATCTCTCAAGACTTAAGTAGCCCCTGAAATTTCCACTCCCTAATTCCATCACCTTGGATGTCAGGATTTCAACATATGAATTTTAATGATACATAAATATTCAGACCATAGCAACAAAGGACATGAATAACGAAAACACACAAAAAAGAGACATGTATAGCTTTCAAACACAAAAAGACAATTAAACTTACTCATAATAATGAAAACACAAATCGAAATGATTTTAATAGACCAGTTTCACCTCCTAGCTTAAAAAGAAAATGGTAAAGTACTGTAGAGGCTATGATATAGCCTTCTAATTTATTACTTACTGATAGGAATACAAATTAACAAAACTCTTAGATGGGCAATTTAGCAATATCCATTAAAATTTCAAAGTTATGTATCCTTAGGCTTAGCAATCATACTTTTCAAATTACCCTGCAGATGTATTTGCCCACAGGGAAATGACATGATATGATTATTATACTGCAGCACCATTGTAATTGCATAATATTGGCAATAAGCTAAAAATTCATCACAGGTGACTGGTTAAATAAGTCAGTTACATTTCAGTGACAGCATAGAGTAAAGCTAAAATACAGACTACCAGAAATTAAGAACTCCTTGATTTGTTGAACAGTGAGAAGATCCAGGTGCAGAACTGTACATGTGGTGGTTATCTCTTATGTTTGAAAAAAAAAAAAGAGGATGAAATTGATCTATAATCAATGCAATCCCAACAAAAACCTACAGGATATTTGTAAAAACAGATAAACTGTTTCTAAAATTCATCTGGAAATATAAAAGACTTAAAATGACCAAAAGAATTTGTGAATGAAAAACCAACTTGGAAGGTGCTATAGTTCAGGTCCTCAATATGCCTTGAAGTTGCATGTGTTGCAGGCTTGGTTCTTAGCTTATGGCATTACTGAGAGGCAGTGGAAGTAGGGAGTCAGGTTACTGGGGCACACCCTTAAAGGAGATGTTGGGACTCTGTGCTTATTTTTGCTTCCAAACTGACATAAGATAAGACTCCTCCAATGTGTGCTCCCACCACAATTCACTGTACTACCATAGGCTGAAAGCAAGAGCCAAGCGATCATAGTCTGCAACTTCTAGACCCACGGGTCAAATAACTTCCTATATGGCTTGATCTAAATGAGCCCCCAAAACCTCACAAGCTGATAGATGGGGTTTTGGGAAGGTGGATCATGGCTGTGTGGTGCTGAATTACGGCATGTGATACTGTGATTAAGTAAACGGGTTTAGCATAGATCTGGGTGTGGACAATGGAAGCCCCACCCCAGGTGTGGGTGGCACTGCCCAAAGGCCTATGGCCCAGATGAAATAAAAGGAAAAGGAAGGCTTGCTACTGCTGCCGCTTGCTGCTTTCTACCTGCCTTGCATGAATTTTCTCCTTTGCAATGTCCCTGCACCACGCCACCCTGCCTCAGAGCTAGCCAACTATGGACTGAAACCTCTACAAACTGTGAGCCAAAATAAACTTTCCTCCTTTACCTTGTAGGTGTCAGGTAGTTTATCTCAGTGAGAAAGTAACTAAGACACCTTCCCTCCTTGTAAGTCTCAGATACTTGTTTGAGGGACAAAAGGCTAACACAGAAAGCTAACACTATTTTATCTTGAAATTCATTACAAAACCTGAGTAATCATAATAGCACAGAATTGACCTAAAGATAGCAAACAGATCAATGAAACAT